AACATATAGTCTACATTATACATCTAATATCTTGCTAGTGGGTGAGATGTGGTGCCTCCCAGTAAAAGCCTGATTCGTGTCATTTAGACTTTGCTCATAGTAAACAATGTAGTAATGTGTTATGCCTTCACAAAAACAACTCTATGAAAGCCACTAGGAATTGCAACAGCATTTGACATGTTTGTGGCTGTCGCTGCACAGCTGAAGACGCCTCGGTACCTCCTTTAGACAAAAGGTTTCTGCGCGAAGGACGGTCACCAAATAAAGCTTTGTGCAAACCACACACACACACACACACACACACACACACACACACAGCAGAGATGCATGCATGGATACAATATTTCATGCACGTCGCAGCTCGAAAATAACCTCCTCAAAATAATTATACAAATATATTTACATGCATTGATGCCAGACATGATCCAGTCGTTTATAGAGAAAAATGGTGGTGGAAAATAATGCAAATTATAATAAATGCAACGCGTTCCGGCTGACTGACTGACAGGAAGATCCAACTTAAACGGGTTTACTATGAAAGCTATGGCATACAGTATCACGCTGCGGTCTGCGCCACCCCTCTCGCGCACAGACAATGAGCCCGCAGTGGGTTTATGAGACACGCGGGGCCCTCCAGCGCTTCACGCCCGCGTTTAACGCACAGCCTGTCACTGACGCACGAGCAACGCTCGCGAGCACAACCCCGCTCCAGCTGCTGCGAATACTCACAAAAAGCCTCGGAAATCCCACACACACTGGGTTACTGTCGTCCTAGCACTCAGTCTGCTCGGTTAAGCTCTCTCCGCAGCCAAACTCAACGCGTTTTCCTCCTGCTTCAGTCGAAAACCGCGACAAAAAAACAACTGAAACTTTCCGCTTACCGTCGCGGCGCTCTTCGGCGTCCTCTTCGTCATTCACCTACCAGCAGAGGACGGATTCTCGACGATTTTAAGAGAAAGAAGCGTGTGTCGGAGGCTAGAAACTGAACGTTAACCCTACGGCTGTGTGGCGTCTCTCAGCGCTGCGTTTGAAAACATCGCCGTCAGTGCGTCTCTGAGAAAAGCTCCAGCGAAAAAAACACGCAAAGCGGAGGCGCTCATTGGCGGACGAGGGACCACGTGATCCACGGCGCTCAAACTCGTTTTGCGCTCGCTCTGAAATGTTTGCTGTTTAATATTTCTCAAATGTTATATAGGCGTTTTAATATTTAATAATATATTTAACACTATATTTAATATTTCTGTTTTAGCTTTTTAGTTTAATTAAATGTATTTTAATATACTATTTTGATTTTTAAATGAACGCTTAATTATTTTATTTATTATTTCTTCAGTTAGTGAATTCTTGAAATTGTAGGCTATGTAAATATCAGTTAGGGCAAATATATGTATTATTTTCATTTTATGCAAAGAATATGTGTCCTGTGTCTTTCATTTAATCTATTTTATTTATTTATTAACTTTTTTGTGTGCTATTTCCAATAGTCTTTATTTTACTGTTTTGACGTTTGAATTATGCCAAATAATAATTAAAAATAATTTAAATAAATGTAAAAAAAAAAAATACTTTGTTAAAAAATTGCTCCTTTTTGTTTTTTTACAAGTGAAATACATTCACTTTGTGCTTATCCCATGTCGTAAATTTGTTTTTGTATGAGGGTTTATCATTATTATTATTATTTTCTCTCCGGGATGGGGGATGGGGGGCTGACGCTGCGCACCGTGACGTCACCAGCGTGCGCGAATGTTCTGGAACGTTGACGTCGGAGAGGCGCGAGGAGGAGAAGGTATTTGACGAGCGCGAGCCAATGTGGCGTAATTTATTCCGTTATTACGAGCGATTAAAATGTGTTTGATTCTAGGTTGGCTAGTTTAGAACGCCGTTGCCGCGCTTTCGGCGGTTATTATTGTTGTGGCGCAGTTGGTTATTTACATGATGTAGGAAAAAGGGAGTTGGCGCATGCGCAGGGGATGGGCTGGTATTATGTTGCAGAACGAGAACATTGGTGTGTGTGTGTGTGTGAGAGAGAGAGAGCGAGAGAGAGAGAGAGAGAGAGAGAGAGAGAGAGAGAGAGAGAGAGAGAGAGAGAGAGAGAGAGAGAGAGAGAGAGAGAGAGAGAGAGAGAGAGAGAGAGAGAGAGAGAGAGAGAGAGAGAGAGAGAGAGAGAGAGAGAGAGAGAGAGAGAGAGAGAGAGAGAGAGAGAGAGAGAGAGAGAGAGAGAGAGAGAGAGAGAGAGAGAGAGAGAGAGAGAGAGAGAGAGAGAGAGAGAGAGAGAGAGAGAGAGAGAGAGAGAGAGAGAGAGAGAGAGAGAGAGAGAGAGAGAGAGAGAGAGAGAGAGAGAGAGAGAGAGAGAGAGAGAGAGAGAGAGAGAGAGAGAGAGAGAGAGAGAGAGAGAGAGAGAGAGAGAGAGAGAGAGAGAGAGAGAGAGAGAGAGAGAGAGAGAGAGAGAGAGAGAGAGAGAGAGAGAGAGAGAGAGAGAGAGAGAGAGAGAGAGAGAGAGAGAGAGAGAGAGAGAGAGAGAGAGAGAGAGAGAGAGAGAGAGAGAGAGAGAGAGAGAGAGAGTGAGTGTGTGAGTGTGTGTGTGTGTGTGTGAGTGAGAGTGTGTGAGTGTGTGTGTGTGAGTCTGTCTGTGTGAGTGAGTGTGTGTGTGTGTGTGAGGGGGATGGGCGCTGGCTAGACACACACGTGAACACATATGCATAGACCAGCTAGAGTCAGTTGCATGAAATGTTGTGGTGTGAAGAAGTGATCATAACATTAATAAATACGCGTGGTTGACATATATGAAACTGTAACTGAGTTATGGTTTGAACCTTAAAAACAAAGTACCATACAATGTTGTGATATTACCATTTGTACAATTGCAAAAGCATAAAAGTTAGTCGCATGTAAATAGTGTGTTTGGCAGCTGCATGCTGTTTGTATGTCGTCTTAACTCAGCCAACATGATCAAACTTTAATCAATAACTCTTATGTCATTTTTGTGTGTCATTGATTATGATTAATGATGTAATCTTTTATGTTTTCAAGACACTGCAAAAAGTGGTGACCTGCGATTGTTACCTTAAAGAGCTATTTCTACTGGATTTAACCCATTAAAGTGTTTTGTTGGTATAAATTATTTTAGGTTGATTCGGTGATATTAGTTAATAGTTTTGACTTGAATAAAACCAGTATAACTTACTTATTAGAAGATATCATTTTTTCAATAATGTGTATTTTCTTCTGGTTGTAAATAGAAATCTAATGACTTTCCTTGTTAAAAGTAAATAAAAGCAGCTAATATTGAACCATTTTTACAGTTTATTGTCATTGGACACTAACTGTACCTGATTGATCAAATAATAGTAAATATTGTGGAAAATGACAGAATTTTGGTGTACATTTTATTCAATATCATTAAATTGCATTATATATATACATACATACTGCTGTCTAGATTTTGTTCAGCCAACTACTATAAATGCCATGGTATATGATTATGGCAATCATGTACTAAGGGTTTTGTAAGTAAAGACTGTGTGAGGTTCTGAATGGAAAACCGCACGTGGAACAGCCTCAGAAATGCTCGCACTTTTGATGTGGCTTGTTTATACATCCTGCATCTGCATCTGTCAGTGAGATTATGCTGTATGGATGGCAAAATGTACGTCTTTTTAAAGTATTGTTTATATCAAATAAACACAAAGTAATGGAAGACTACACTGTATGTGCTTATGTTATGTTTTGTTATAATATTGCAAAAGTTTAGGATGGAGGCCTTTTGTCGTGACCATGCTTGCATGCACAAGAATATTCCTAAATTAATTAGAATTTGGTCATATTATGATGAATATGCCACAACCCCAATATTCTAAGACGTCTGACATATTCCTTTTTTAATCAATTATCTATTAATGAAAAGAAATAAACAAATCAATAAACAGATGGGTTAAAGTATCATAATAGTATCACTGCCTACGTTTTGCTATTTATTGCTGTGTGCTGCTGTCAGTGTCAAGAATGTGAATTGAGGTGAAATTACTCTACACAATTGCTAAAAAATGAAGTGTAATAACTGGTGAAACCATCTCCAGTATTTTCAGTACTGTTGCAGTAAAAGTGTTCGACTTTGTTTACCTAGAACATGCTGATTATTGTGTTCAGAAATGTTCCGCTAGCTGTGGAGCATAAAAACTATTTGTTTGGAATATATAAAAACAATTTTTATTTGCACGTAAACATGGATTATGTTTGTATCACAAAAAACTTTTAAGGAATAGTTCACCCAAAAATGATAATTTGCTGAAGATTTACTCACCGTCAGGCCATCCAAGATGTAGATGAGTTTGTTTCTTCATCAGATTTGGAGAAACGTAGCATTGCATCACTTGCTCCCCAGTGGATGGGTGCCGTCAGAATGAGAGTCCAAACAACATGAAAAAAAACATCACAGTAATCCACACCACTCCATCAATTACCATTTTGTGAAACTAGAAGCTGTGCTTTTGTAAGAAACAAATCCATCATCAAGACATTTCAACTTCAGTCGTTTCCAGCCAAAATACAAGTCCTTTATGTGTGATATTGCTTTCTCCAGTGACAAAGTCATCTTTTCTGGAGAGAAATCTGCACAGATCAAGCACTGTTTCTAAACAAATATGTTGGTGGATCTTGATGTGAGGGACAACAGGAGATGGAGTTTTTCACTGGAGGAAGCGTTATGGATTATGGACTGGTATTTTAGCTGGAAGCAACACTTTGAAGTTAAAAACATCTTAATGATGGATTTTTTTTTTTTTTTTTACAAACACGCAGTTTTTCACTTGTGGATTGTGTTTTTATCAGCTGTTTGGACTCTCATTCTGACGGCACCCATTCACTGCATTGCTGAGCAAGTGATGGAATGACGCATTTCTCCAAATCTGACGAATGTTAATTTTTGGGTGAACTATTCCTTTAATCTGCATGGTTCATTTGTCATTTAAAAAAAACAAAAACAAAGTCACACTGGTCTATTGGGTATAATTTATGATAATATTTTATTTACATATACAACATCTCTGATGTTTACAAGGACTCAAGATCACGGAGGTCTGTTTACAGGTCAGGTCTCACACCAAAGCCTGGTCCGGGAGGAGGTTCTGTCAGTGAGGTTAAACCTCCGGCAGGTTCACATGAAAAACGCCCACTCCTGATGGAAGTGAAATCATTACAATCAATTAAAACATTCTTAGCGAGCCAAATGATACATTAACCACACACATCACATCATGTACTTATTTAATTAGACCTCTAGTTGCCTCATATTATCTTCACAAGTGAAATAAATAATAGGGGCGTCTCTGAGAACTGCAAGCTGAGCTAACCATCGTCCTCTTACAACTAACAACTGACCCTTCATTTGACCGTCAATCCTTTTAATAAGCTTGCGTCTGTGAATGTCCCAAACACCCCCTTGATGTCACAACCAAACTATACTTGACTCAGAACCAGATAATCAAATCAATTGGCTTGACACAATTTCTGAAAAAGATCTAAATCTATACACAAATAAGGTGAGTTGCTTTCACATACAATTCCCACTGCTGCTCTTTAAAGTATAATATAATGGATAAATGGATTGAAATATGCAATGCATGCATATTTATATATGCATATGCACTATTGTCTGACATTATAGGACACATTATATATAATAGCAAGGATGCATAAAATTGATCAAAAGTGACAGTAAAAGCATTTCTAATGTTACAAAACATTTGTATTTCAAATAAATGCATTTCATTGAGCCCCAATAATAATTAAGCAGCAAATCAGCATATTAGAATGATTTCTGTAGGATCATCTGACACTGAAGAAGGTAATGGTGCTGAAAATTCAGCTGCGCATCACAGGAATAAATTACATTTTTAAAGATATTTGAATATAAAGTTGGCTATTTAAATTTTTTTTAAATATACAGTTGCTTATTGTAATAATATTTCACAATATTACTGTTTTTACTATATTTTTCATCAAATAAATACAGTATTAGTGAGCAGAAGTGACTTGTATTTATGTATTTACTCTGAAATAATATAATTATAATATTCAGATGAACCATTTTAATCAAACAGCCAATTAGACTCAATTTGTTTAATGTAAGAAGTAGAATACAATACCGATCTAGTTTGAAATAATAAAGGCATGTTTTCTAAGTTGTTTTTCTTTAAACAAAATACTAGAAAGAATTATATTTAATAATTAAATTATTTTATATGCACCATCACCAATATAACAAAGCACTGCATATACATAGTAAGCAGCAATCACATATTAACTATATAAAACATTTAAATGCATGTGATTTATAAAACATATCATGCCCAGACTTCATTTTTGAGTGATGACACCAAAATTGAATTTGAATCACTTCACTGTTGAATTTCCATGAATTTGCATCTAAAATTTAAATAAGAGATGCTATAAAGTCATATTTGCAGTCTGTGAGACAAGGAAAGAATCTTAGGAAATGCAATGGCCACTTTAAAATCACTGTGCTGTGGATTATTTTTACCACGATATATCAAGTAATACTAAAAGAAGGGAGATTTGTGTACCTGGGTCCAGGAGGAGGAACTCTGCCTGCCTTCAGTTCATCAATAATCTGCTCAATGTCTGATGGTTTAAGATCCTCCTACAAACCAAACCAGAAAGAAAGGAAACACTCGTTAATGCAGAATTAATTGATTATAGTACACCCTATTCTCTGATCTTTGTCTTAAAGCGGTCATATGACGCTATTTTAAAGATCATTATGTTGTGTATTTGGTGTAACAGAATATGTTGACATGCTTTAATGTTCAAAAAACACATTATTTTTCAAATACTGTACATTATTGTAGGTCCTCTATGCCCCGCCTCTCCCAAACGCGTAGTTGTATACAAAGTCCCTCCTTCCGACAAGCGCAGTCTGCTCTGATTGGCCAGCTGACCCAGTGCATTGTGATTGGCCGAACACCGCAAGCACACGTCGGAAATGTAACGCCCCTTACCATAATCGCGAGCGTCAGCTTTCAAAGTAAATATCAAGACAGTTAATAATGTCGTTAATTTAGCATCAGTTCAAGTCCGAAAGGGCAACAGAGTCGCGTGACAGACACAGTGATGATGCAGTACACAAGCCGCGGTTAAGACAGCTGACGTGCTATGATTTCTGACAGACAGTTCACTCTCCTGTAATGTGACCCTGTTCCCCTTACACACACACACACACACACACATGACGCGTTACTCTGCGCTGCGCAAAACTCCGCATTTGAACAGTCAATAGCAAATACTTAAACTAATAACAAAACATACTTACAGTCGCTGATTCAGAAGCGCCAGATTGTCATAGCAAAGTCAGAATTGAGGCTTTCTTTTTTTTTTTGGAAATAGATTTGTGCACAGCCAGTCTTTTTACTCCATAAAATGCGTTGCACAAATTCGAACATCTGGGTTGTGCTGTTCTGTTTTCTGGTTCTGATTCCTAATTGCATCTACTTTCGGAAGGCCAAATAAAGTGCTTTTGCTTTTGCACTGAAACACAGCTTCTCCCTGACATGCTGCATCCACACTACTGCTGTTCCTGAAACCACGCCTTCTTTCTTTGCGTGCACATTTGGGCGACATTATGCTAATATTTCCACATAGTGAGGTAGATATGTGGGGGCGTGTTAGAACGAGCCGTTTTAGGTAGGTGTGGCTGACTCTTAACTTTTATAAAGAATATCTCTTTGGATTTGAGACTTTAGTCTTTGCAACTTTACAGATCTTCTTTATGCACCAAGAGCTTGTAACACTCCAAAGAGAAAGGAAAACTTGAAATCGCATCATATGACCCCTTTAAAGAGATAAATAAGCTCAAGCATCAACTTTATTATGGTGAATTCAGTGAAAACATGTAAAAATAAAGCCTGTTTTCAGATCCGCTGAGATGTTCCTAATAGGGGTTAAAGAAAAAATTCTTTAAACGAAACAGAATTACTTGCAAGCATGTTCTGACAGGTTTTGTGAGATTCAACCACTACAAATGTTCTGCTGCCCTTCAGACCTTGTGTGACTCACTTTCTGAAAATGTTAGTAACACTAAATGAACGTAATTGGTAAACATGAGTGATCTCTAGCCACACCGTAGCTATCTCATTATCTGGAAGCAGCAGGGCAACCCTCTACATTGTGAGTAAATCACTCGCATATGCGACAAAATCTTCACTCATAATTACAACTTGTGAACTGGGAGTTTTCTGAGAGCTACGACTTGTACCACGTGATCGCTGAACCACCTGACCACCGCAGGCTCTGTTTAGGCGTTGATAGTGTTGCCATAGAAAAGCATAATTCCGAGGACGTGAACAGCTCCGAGTAGAACATCACGTGCGGTCATCTCGAAATTACGGTAATTACGATATGGCGTGCCGTGAACGCAGCATATTTTTCAGTTCATCTGCATGGATGCGCAGCGCACCTGTATTTGGCGTACCGTGAACTCTAGTGTAACCGCGCACACTTTGCCGTCACTTTGTCTCACACACGCAGAGAGAGAGAGAGCTAGAGAGTCTTGCATACCATGCAGAATTGACGCGCTACGTGTAAACAATATACTTTGTTGTATTTTCCTGTCAAAATAATGGAGTTCCTTTGGAATTCTTCAACTTTTAAAGGGGTCCTATTATGCTTTTTTTTACTTCTTGAACTTTAGTTTGTAATGTTGCTGTTTGAGCATAAAAAAGATCTGCAAAGTTACAAAGCTCAAAGTCCACTTCAAAAGGAGATATTTTATTTAATAGAAATCACTTTTCAAAAACTACAATGAAAGACTCGTTTGGACTACAACGCATATTTTCAGACGAATGGGACGAGACCTGGTTGAGCTGCACTAGAGAAGACAACGAGTGTTATTATGTCGGAGATGCGCTAGTTTTCACAAGGCAAACGAACTTTAGAGTGGTTACAATCATCCGGGTTTAAATCGCACTCAAATTGATTTGATTTTGACGCAATATTTACACTGAAGCTGCAGGCGGCTATGGTAAGGGGCATGACATTTCCCGACCAGGCGCCGAGTGCTGCCAATCACAGCACACACTGGCCCAGCTAACCAATCACAGCACACACTGGCCCAGCTAACCAATCAGCACATTTCGTATTTCAGAAGGCGGGCCTTCATTTGATGCAGGAACTATTCGAGCCGTTCATGCCAGACTGGGGAGAAAGGTGTTGTAATAATGTAAAATATGTGAAAATTTTGTTTTTCGAACAATCCAGTATGAGAGCCTGTTCTAGTACACCCCCAAAACAAAATCAAGACTTTGTAAAAGAGCATAATAGGACCCCTTTAAGAACTGCTGGGTTCTCCGGTAGTAGGCGGAACTAATGCGCAAACGGCAATCTCATTGGCTGGTGCTCACCTAGTATCATCCCTGTTTTAATTTCAGCGAATCAGTTCAAGCAAACACACACAACCTGATTAATATTCATGAATCCAGCAGCTCATTAATCCTTAGAGCATTTTATACTGTTCTTATTAGTAGAATTCTATGTATTATTATTATTATTATCTTATCAGTATTAGTGTTAGTTTTTCCCCATTTTTTACAGAAACACTGAATGACCAAAAAAGCAGCACCACCAGTCCTGAGTTCAGTTAAAATTACTAATATGCATTCATACATGGTTTTAATTCTCATTACTAAAGTGCTATCATTAAATAATACTTGATTATCATTAGCGCTGTCAAGCGATTAATCGCATCCAAAATAAAAGTTTTTGTTTACATAATATATGTGTGTACTGTTTATATTTATTATGTATATATAAATACACACATACAGTATATATTTCACAAATATTTACATTTATATTCATATAATATATATTATATATAAATATATTTAAAATATAAACAACTTATTTTTCTTAAATGTATACATAATAAACATACACAGTACACAGACATATATTACGTAAACAAAAACTTTTATTTTGGATGCGATTAATCACAAATATTTACATTTATATTCATATAATATATATTATATATAAATATATTTAAAATATAAACAACTTATTTTTCTTAAATGTATACATAATAAACATACACAGTACACAGACATATATTACGTAAACAAAAACTTTTATTTTGGATGCGATTAATTGTTTGACAGCACTAATTATCATATATAATGCTTGACTGACTGATGTTACGAATGTAGTACATTTAGATATTTAAAAAGCTGTGCCATTTTATTTATATATATATATATATATATATATATATATATAAAACACACACATGCATATATGGTATATCAGTCTGGTGAGTAAACTAAAAAATGTACTAGCCAATGGCGATTCAATTGCCAAGGTGTCGGTAGAGGGTTGCAGGGTCATGTAGATGTGATCTCTAGGTTCCTCCAGAAGAAAGCATCAAAGGATGAGCTCACCAAATGCCCTAACGGATGATTAGCTGTTGGAAGGAGACCTGCTAACCCATTTCAGGTGGGTGAATCACACAGGGCTGACGAGTTTCTATTTAACTCTGAGAGGCCACGGCTAATTGCATCATTACCCCGGCGGGTCATACAGGGCTTCACTTAACACAAACAAGCTTAAACAGAGACGTACACAACCCAAGGAATATTCACCACCGATACGGACTCAGATCTAATTAGTGAATTAATTATAGTTATATAAGCAATAATTCCTCTAGCTAGAAATCCACTTATAAGGTTTTGTTTCTTATTTTTTGACAATTAAAACAAAGAACACAAAAATAAATAAAATAGCAATATGCACCATCAATATTGTATTATTATTATTAATATTATTGTTGGACTGTGTATAATAATAATTCGTAGCAGTAGCAGTAATACAATTATATTTAGTTCTTTTGATTAACATCTGCATTCTCTTTTTAGTAAATTATACAATATAAATTAGAATACAAAAAAACTGCACTATCAATATTATTTTTTGTTGTGTATAATATTAATAATAATTAGTACTGCTATTTATATGATTATATTTACGCAAAGCTCTTGTTTGTACATTATGCATTTGGTGCTTTTTAACAATTAAAATCAATTACAATGCAACAAAAAACAATATGCACTATAAATTATATTATTTTTGACTGTATAATAATAATAGTAATATAATAACAATAATTAGTACTATTATTTATACAGTTAAATGTATGCTCTTTTGTTTGTACAATATGCATTCTTTCTTAGCTTTATGACAATTAAATTACAATACAACAAAAAACAACATGTACTATCATTATTTTTAGATGATGATTTTATAATAATTAGTATATTTATTTGTATAATTATATTTAGTTCTTTTGTTGTACATTTACACCTTTTTTGACAACCTTGACAATTAAACATTAGAATACAACAAAAACAATACGCACCATCAATATCATATTATTATTTCATTCTATTATTCAATAATAATAGTAGTAACAATAATAATTAGCTTTGTTATTTGTACTAGTATATTAAGTTATTTTGTTTGTGTTTTTCATTCCTTTTTGACTACTAAAATAAATTACAGTACAACAAAAACAACATATTATTAATTGATGTATAATAATTAGTAGTAGTACTATTTGTACAATAGTATGCAAAGTTCATTTGTTTGTACGTTCTCCAATCATCTCGACTGTCTGTCTGATTGATTGATTATCAGCCAATCAGAAGATAATCATTTCTTTTTACCTCTTTAAAGCAAACAGGACCACATGAACACATCCTGTATATTGCCCTTTACCCTTGTTAAGACTCAAAACACACAAACTGCTCATCTTGACTTCATAACAGAGAAACTGCCTCCCCTAGAGCTGACATTAAAACTAGCTGCCGCTCATCAACATGCATTCACAACGAGACTCAAACATGAGGTTTCTGATCATACTCACATAATAGTTATCGTTGATTTGGACCATTGGTGCGTTCACACAAGCCCCGAGACATTCGACTTCTGTTAGCGTGAATAATTTATCTGCCGTGGTCTCACCGACTTTGACACCTGACAGGAGAGATCATTTTTGGGTTAGACAATTAAACACATAGTCATTACTTGCGTGTTAATTCAAATAAACATTAAATAAAATATTATTTCAGCAGCCAAGGCATCATTTCTCATTTAAATCTAAACATTTAAATAGTAATAATAATAATGACAACAATGCACAACTAAAAGACTTCAAATTAAAGTGAAAACAGAAAATGTAAAAATAAAATCCCATTTAAAATATTAACTTATAACAATAATGTTTCCGCCGTTGTCTCACCGACTTTGATACCTGATACGAGATTTTTTTGGGGGTTAAAAATTAAATGCATAGTCATTACTTAGGATGACATTAAATAAATTAAAATATAAAATTATAATAAACTTTTCTATTACTATGCATATATAATTACATTATTATTTTATATTTTTATTACATCAAATTCTATACTATATTATTTAAGCTAGTGGCCAAGGCATCATTTGTCATTCTCATAATTTTTAGTTTGAAGAAAACCAAATGAAAACTAATAAAGAAGAGAAAATACTATATAGACATTTAAAACTATATATTTACACACATTTACTTATTATATAACAAATATTAATTAGAATAGTATATCAATGATACTAAAACAACACTATATGGAACACTAAAGATGATATTTTAAGGAATAATTTGCTATTTTAAAAAAACATGAGGGTGAGTAAATATGAGTAAGTAGTTTCTACTTCTAAAATATGTTTTCAAAAAAAAAAAAAAGATTACTACAATCCATTAGTGTATTATTCCAGCATCTTCAAATATTCCAATTTCAGGCCATGTTTGAGCAGCATGGCTTTAGCTTGTTGATATAGCGAGTGTGTTTATTGGTGACGTGCGAGTCGAGATGTCTGTGTGGAATCCCTGTGGAGAGCTGGAAACGGTTCTCGCTCACCCAGTTTGCTCTGGATGGCCTCCAGGATGCTGTCGGAGTCGCAGAGCATGCAGGGCGTAGTGGTGCAGATCTGGATGTGGTGCTTTCCCACCGGCTGACGGAGGAACATGGTGTAGAAAGTGGCTACTTCATAAACCCTCATTGGAGCAATGCCCAGGATCTCTGCCACCTGCAGGAGAAATCAGAAATCACACCAGGGAACCACAGCTTTAAATCAAAAATATGAAAATCTGAATATGTTCAGAAATTATGAAATTCACTATCACAATTGAAAAAATATTATTATTACTTTTAATATTTATGATACTGTATATTTTTGTGCACCTGCGGAGCAATAGCCAACATTCTGTAGAAACTTATATTTGAATAAAAACAAAGCAATATTTGTGAATGAAACATTCCAAATGATCTGGACTGTAAAATGCTGAATATCTATAGCAGGTTTGATCATTTACAGAATAGAAATGCATGCCTCATCAATGTCATGTTTTTCATGAAGGCTGGGTGACTTAAACATACTGCTGTGCACTAAATAAAATGAGAACTACACATGAAACTGATGCATTTAACAAAGATGTTTTGCCACACAACAAAACAAAATCAATACTTTCAATGTCATAAAAACACTTTATGAAAAAAAAAAACACAGATCATATAAATTACAACTAAAATTGTCAGGTCAGTTTTATTAAAATCTCCACATTTTAACTGATTGATTATTAACAGGTTTCCACACAATTTTGACCAATTAATTTCCATGACTGTCCATACTGGATACATTTAAAAAAATAAATAATTAAACCGAAACTGACTGCACTCAGGGTTATTACAGCTAACAAAAACTAAATGAAATACATTATTTGAAATAAAATAAACATTACCTGAAATAAAATATTTTTAAAATATATATATATTTTATTTCAGCTAGTTGCCAACGCAACATTTCTCATTTTGCTGAAACCAAAAGAACTTAAACTAATAAATAAAAATGAATAAAATCTATAGATTTAGAAAAACAAAAACTAATAAAACTGAATTTAAAAAAGTTCAAGTAAAAATAGAAAATACAAAAATGTGACTAGGGACCACAAAATCAGTCACAAGTGTCAATTTTTCAAAATTGAGATTTATACACAATATGAAAGCTGAATAAATAAGCTTTCCATTGATGTGTGGTTTGTTAGGATCGGACAATATTTGGCTGAGATACAACTATTTGACGATCTGGAATCTGAGGGTGCAAAAAAATCTAAATATTGAGAAAATCATCTTTAAAGTTGTCCAAATGAAGTTCTTAGCAATGCATATTACTAATCAAAAATTTACAGTAGGACATGTACAAAATATCTTCATGGAACATGATCTTTACTTAATATCCTAATGATTTTTGGCATAAAAGAATTTATAATTTTGACCCATACAATGTATTGTTGGCTATTGCTACAAATATACCCCAGCGACTTAAAGGGGTCATATGATGCTGCTAAAAAAAAAACATTATTTTGTGTATCTGGTGTAATGAAATGTGTTTATGCGGTTTAAAGTAAAAAAAAAAAAAAAAAAAGCACATTATTTTCTACATACTGTACATTATTGTTTCTCCTCTATGCCCCGCCTTTCTGAAACGCGTCGATTTTTATAAAGTTCATCGGTGAAAAAGCGAGGTGTGCTCTGATTGGCCAGCTATCCAGTGCATTGTGATTGGCCGAATACCTCAAGCGTGTGACAGAAATGTTACGTCCCTCACCATACGGTTGATGCTGTGTCCGGCCAGAGACAAAAACATGAAAACTCATTATAAACGAGGCATTTGTTGCATCCAGTGGGGACATAATTATGGATTATAATGACTTATTCTGTCGTTTTACGCGTTGCGTTGCATTGCACCGCGTAAACATAAAACCATGTCTGCATTTGTGATCGGAGAAACGACAAACAACAAGCGCTACTCTACACTGCCCAAAACTCGCGTTTGAATCATCAGCGGCAAATTCTTTAAATGAAAACGTACTTGCGTGAGTCAGAACTGCCGGCATTTTAGTCAAACGTTACTCTCCCAGGATCAGTAAACAGTCCTCCATAAAATGTGCCGGCGATCCACAGCACTAAGTTAATGTATTCCCTCAGCGACCAGCACAGATCAGCTCTAGGCATGACGAAGCAGATATCGTCCTCTTTTGGAAGACCAAACAAAGTAGTTTCGCTTTCATAACGAAAAACACAGCGGCCTAGCGTGAGCTGAGGCCGGGCAAGAGTGAGCTGAGGTGGCGGGATCGAGAATGGCAGTCCCGGCGGATCCGACGAAGGAGCGGTGAACAACGAATAACACAGCGTCTTCACGACATGGCGGCAGCGGCAAAAACAATACTACAGCGAGAATAAAAGTTACGCCTTCTTTCTTTGAGTGAACATTTGGGCGGCGTTATGCAAATCTTCCCACATAGTGATGTAGACATGTGGGGGTGTGTTAGAACGAGCTGTTTTAGGTAGGCGTGGCTGACTCTTAACTTTTATAAAGAATATCTCTTTGGATTTGAGACTTTAGTCTTTGCAACTTTACAGATCTTCTTTATGCACCAAGAGCTTGTAACACTCCAAAGAGAAAGAAAAAAAAAATTGCATCATATGACCCCTTTAAGACTGCTTTTGTGCTCCAGGGTCACAAATAAAATCTGATTCAAAACATTAACAAACTATACTTATAATTCCATACTTATGTTTATTATACATGTGTCAAACTCCCTTGCATAATTTGTATACATCTGTCCATACAATATATCTTCTTTTGTCTATTGCGTATTGTTTTTACATATTTATTTTTAATATCACTTGTTTTTATTTTATCTGTGTCTAGTCACTTGTCATCTGGAAGCTTCTGTCACCAAGACAAATTCCTTGTGTGTGTGCGCATGTAAGCACACTTGGCAATAAAGTTCTTTCGGATTCTGATTCTAATAGTATATCAATGAGCCTAAAATAACACCGCTCATATCTAATGGCATAACAATAAACGTATATACACTATTAAATAATCACTAAGAGTTCCAGGTTTTTAAGTGATTGTGGGAACTCATTATTATTTATCAATCAAAAAAAGCTTTGGTGCATGTCTTTAGAAGCTCTCACCCTGTTCATTGCTGAAATAGGAAGCCATCCGTGCTGCCTCTGAGCCACATCCAGCACAGGAATAGTGGCGGCTGCCTTGTGTCCCTCTGGGTAATTATTAATGATGGCCTCAACTCTCTGTAGCCAAACACATTATACAATAACCACACAGCTATAATCTTTATTCAACATATCTGAACACAGCAAGACATATCTGATCTTACCTGTGGAATAGTTCTAAAATATCACAATGGCAGCAAAAATGCCTTAAATATGATTCCATATTATAATATCAAAAATGTAAATGATGAGTGGTGAGATTTCCCTCACCTTCATGTTCTCTAGGCTGAATTCAAATGGCGTCTCTGGGTTGTTGTCCGGTGTGTCTCTGTGCTGGAGTAATGAAAACAGATCAAATCAAATGCAACAAAAATATCAGCCTTATAATAGTGCGTCCTCCTGGTTTTTTACAATACAACACAGATTGCTTTAAAGCAGCTTTAGAGTATTAAAAAAAACTGTATTATTGTTGCAAAGTTCTTCAACAATAGATAAAAATATAAGTGTCATTATCAGCATTGATTCATTTCAGTTCAATAACTGTGTAAAGTTCATCAAATTATAAAACAAGCTTAAAGGCAGGGTATGTGATTTTTCAAAAACACTTTAGAAAACTGATTCGGGCCGAATTGCAAAACAAACTTGTAGCCAATCAGCAGTAAGGGGCGTGTCTACTCGTGATGTGGAGGAGAGAGCTTTCAGTGCACAGGACGGACATTAGCGAGCCGAGCGACAGAAAGATAGAGATGGCGGATAAAAAAAACAAAAGATGAAAAGGTCTGCGGAACGATAAGGCAAGAAGTAGGACCCGTGTAAATATCGGATCAGCTTTCCAGCGCTGGAGAGAACTCAAGGAGCGGAGGCCTGCGATCGGACGCCGAGGTTGCTTTGTTTCTTCTCGATAGGTGAGTAACACCGTGTCTACAACAGCTAAAGTCTGCCTACACTGGACGCGATCAAACCACCGTTGAAAACCATTTGAAATGTGTGTCAGCACGTCATAAATAGAACCCGGCTGCAGTTTTCTGTCGGGATTTGTTGCGCCGTGCCGCTCACGTCCGATGTAGACACGGTGTAACATTGGTTTTGCTTTGTTTCACAGAACTAATCGTTGCCTGGGTTGCGTACGTATATGTGGGGCGGAGCTATATAAATAGGGGCGAGACCATTTTGGGATAGGGGCGTGTTTGTTTTGGTGATTTCAAATATCAACATTGGCTACCAGAAATCACTTACCCTGCCTTTAACTCAACTATAAAAAGTCAATAGTGTTGGAATTCAGCTCAATTATGAAACGAATTCAGCAATAAAGCAACTCTACATAAGACAATAGTGTAATTATTTAGCTGTTTGATTCAGTTGTGTTCACACTGATGATATTACTGAATATTAAGCGTCTCATGTGCACATATCATTACAAAGAGTGCAATAAACATATGAAAGTCAAGTCTCACCACAAAGATTCCTCCAGCTCCAGCTCGAGCCGATGTCTGGTGCAAACTGCGGACCTGCCTCGCCTGCAGAAGAAATGCAACAAGTGTAAAGTACAATAGAAAGCAAACAACTCATTTTTTTTTTTCTTTTTTGCAAACTACTAAACCAATACATCCCTTTTTGTATATTGTATGTATTGACCAAATATGCAATATAATATTTTGTGCATTAAGTATGCAATGCTCTATAACGTTTCTGTTTAGTTATTCCAGTGTGTATTGTATTAGTCACTGCAATAGAAAGACATATATATAATTAACTTATTATTTACTGATTCAGGTTTATTTACTGATTACTCAACCTGTCTGGGTGAATAGAAACAACCATTTTTGGTAACACATCACGGTTTTAAAGAGTGTCTAATAAACACAAAATGTTTAATTCACATTTGAATGACATATAAACACATCCAGGCCTCATTATTAGCTGTTAGCGCATTAGCTTCACGTCCTTGCACAGATGTCAACGCCGCTTTAAATGATGATTCATATGCAATTTCTTCAACCGCCTCATGAATAATCCGATTACAACATATATAAAATAAACCTACCGCATAAGACACGGCAGAGCGCAGAGTTGAAGATAAAAACATCTTTTCAATGCGCTCGGTCACACTAAACACAAGCAATGGCGGATATCAAATATTGCGCGCTCGATTGAGCGGGTCTGGTTACGCAAGGGACGCACGGCTCAAAGAGTCTGAATAATGGATCACCGAGCCGCAAACGAACAGATGCACACGTTGTGTTCCTGATAATAACACAGACACGCAGCATGCTGCACACTTGTAGTACTTGAGCTTAAATGGGTTGTAATGCAGGACTGTTACTAAAATGTGAGCCAGCATTGTTCTGCTTAACATTTGCGGTTTATTTACATTTAGTCATTTAGCAGACGCTTTTATCCAAAGCGACTTACAAATGAAGACAATAAAAGCAATCAAAATCAACAAGAGAGCAATGATAATATATTGACAAAATATTTCAAATGCATATATAAAATGACTATCTATCTATATCTAAGGTTTTTCATAGTTAGAGTGTGTTAGTTTGGTGTCATCGTTATTTATGTTCTTTAATTTCTTGAATTATAATTGTAAAATTTATTTATATATAACACATCTTTATTGTAAAAATGCAACAAAAATTTTTTTTTAGGGTTAGTGGGTCATTCTCTGCTTATTTATTGATTAATATCAATCAATCAATCAAGTATTTTTCTTTAATTTCTTCAATTATAATTAAAAGAAATATTACAATACATCAAATATACTGTAAAAAAATAGAAAAATGAAAAATCTTTAGGGTTAATGTGTGTTCGTTTGTTGTCATTATTGTTATTATCACATCAAAATTGAAACGTTATTCATAAGTAAATAATGTTTTTACTTTAAAAATGCAAAAGGTTTTCTTTTAGGGTTAGTGTGTATGTTAGCTTGTTGTCATGACTATTATTAAGATTATAATTGATTATAGATTATAATTGTAACAATTTTTCACAAGTTAACAACTTATTTTATTCAAAAAATGCAAAAAGTCTTCATTTAGGGTTAGTGTGTTTATTATTATTGATTTATTTACTTATTTTCATTTATTCAATTAAAACGGTAAAAGTTATTCAACTTAAATGGGTTGTAATGCAGGACTGTTACTAAAATGTGAGCCAGCATTGTTCTGCTTAACATTTGCGGTTTATTTACATTTATTCATTTAGCAGACGCTTTTATCCGAAGCGACTTACAAATGAAGACAATAAAAGCAATCAAAATCAACAAGAGAGCAATGATAATATATTGACAAAATATTTCAAATGAATATATAAAATGACTATCTATCTATATCTAAGGTTTTTCATAGTTAGAGTGTGTTAGTTTGGTGTCATCGTTATTTATGTTCTTTAATTTCTTGAATTATAATTGTAAAAATGATTGATATATAACACATTTTTATTGTAAAAATGCAAAAAAAAATGTTTAGGGTTAGTGGGTCATTCTCTGCTTATTTATTGATTAATATCAATCAATCAAGTATTTTTCTTTAATTTCTTCAATTATAATTAAAAGAAATATTACAATACATCAAATATACTGTAAAAAAATAGAAAAATGAAAAATCTTTAGGGTTAATGTGTGTTAGTTTGTTGTCATTATTGTTATTATCACATCAAAATTGAAACGTTATTCATAAGTAAATAATGTTTTTACTTTAAAAATGCAAAAGGTTTTCTTTTAGGGTTAGTGTGTATGTTAGCTTGTTGTCATGACTATTATTAAGATTATAATTGATTATAGATTATAATTGTAACAATTTTTCACAAGTTAACAACTTATTTTATTCAAAAAATGCAAAAAGTCTTCATTTAGGGTTAGTGTGTTTATTATTATTGATTTATTTACTTATTTTCATTTATTCAATTAAAACGGTAAAAGTTATTCAAGAGTAAATAACTTTTTTTCACTAACCCGGTCTTCTTGTAGGGTTAGTGTGTGTGTTAGTTAGTAATTTTGTTATGCGCTTTTATGTATTTTTAAAATATGTGTATTTGTTTAATACTATTATTATATATAGTAATACTAATATTATACTTACATTAAAGTAATTATAGGTTGCAACATGGTCATAAATACATAAAATTATAATTATATTACATTGTTTATGCATTTTTGCAAGGTTCAGTCTGTACTTTTAATGTTGAGAATATGATTTTATAAGTATTTACTTGTAGGGCTCGGCAGGAGCTCCTGTTCTTCTAGACAAACATGGCAGGGCACAATGATTATTATGAGTCTTATTGAACCATGTCACCTGCATTTGACATCAGCTATCACATAACACCTTGATTACATTCGATAAAGAGTGATAAGATGGTTCCTGTAAGAACTGCATGAATGTCACATGAGAAGTCATCCGAATGTTAATTCCTAATAACTTCTCAGGAACATCCCTATGACTCTTTTCAGTATTTAATCAAAGTGATACAATTTTGGCTTGATGTCACACTGTATGCAGGTGACATGCTTCAGCAGCCCTCAGAATAATCATTGTTGTCCTGTTAGCTATGCGCTGAAGTATTAATAGTCTTGTGGAACAAGGAGTGTCGTGTAACTGCTGTTATATACAGAACCACTCAAGTCATATATCAATCACCTGTTTTACATTACCATTTAACACTACCATCTCACAAAAACTTATCCAGGTCATATTTCACCCCAAATTTGTAAAGAAATAAAAAATGGTATAGTGCATATATTAAAATAACACATAGATCTATGAGCATTAACATTATTATGATTGTTTTAATGGCAATTAAGCTCTTTTCACCTTAAATTTGTATTAGTGCTGTCAAACGATTAATCGCATCCAAAATAAAAGTTTTTGTTTACTCAATGTATGTGTGTGTACTGTGTATATTATTATGTATGTATAAAGACACGCACATACAGTATATATTTTGAAAATATTTACATGTATATATTTATATTCATATAATTTATATTATACATAAATATATTTAATATATAAACATTACATATTTTCTTGAATATATACATGCATATGTTTGTATTTATATATACATAATAAATATGCACAGTACACAAACATATATTACGTGAACAAAAACTTTTATTTTGGATGCGATTAATCGCGATTAATCGTTTGACAGCACTAGTTTGTATTCAAAGATTTTTTTTTTGCGATTTGCATTATTCTTAATGTATTCTCATTAATGTAATATAGTCAAAAAGTAATATAAATTAATATATGTATTCAACTGTATTCTAATTAATTTATATATATATATACATATTAGTATAAGTAATTATTTATTTATTTATATATATATATATATATATATATAAATAATTGTTTAAGCAATTTAAGCATTATTATTTAAGCAAAATATAATTTTGTTTTTCTATATTAAGATTTTGGGTCAATAGGCAAATAACTGCAGCAATCTAAATCAAAACATTTTAATAATACCAGATGAACAGGTTTGCATGGGTGAACAGAAGCGTGTTATGAGGACAGATTCCTGCGGCTGTAGTTCTTACAGTCTATAGTCTAGACGGTCTCTCTCTGGCACGTTACATGAGGTGGTTTTGGCAGAGAGTCTCCTAACAGATGCCAAGAACTAAAGCATGCGAACCATGCTGAGGCGACACTTCAGTTAGACATTAAGCATCAAGTGCTAATGGAGGACACAGGCTCGTAAAAGCAATATGGACAATACATATCCTCAAACATATTCACAAAACATGATGCAGTGTGCAACCTCAGAGGTCAGCGTCTATTCTTTACGCTGCCATCCATTCATACCTAAGGGGTCGCTTTGCTTAAAAACTGTTCACCCTGTCAGCAGTCCATCATGGTCTTTCCTATTTTGGACGGCCAGGTGCAGATGCACAGTAAACAGAGCGGAGAGCTTTCATGGGGATTTGCGTTGTCACGATGTTCCCTGTGTTGCATGAATTTGCACATCGGCTACTAATGTAAAAGCAGCAACCCTTGCATAAAAAAGCACACAGTCTTCAGAAAATGTGAAATTCTAAGTTTAAAGTGTGGTTTAACAAGGCAAGTTGCCATATTAAAATTTGTTTAATTGACTTGTGCAATAAGTGAAGCCCACTGGCCAAACGCTCAGCTGACGGACGTCCAAATCTAATGCAGGCAGCAGAGCCAAAGTACAGCCCTATTCCTGTAAAAATGAGACGCGTATAGTGGGGTCCAAAAGTCTGAGACCACACTGACTATCAAAGTCTAAATTCACTGTGGGAATAAACAGGTTTAGGATTTGAGACAACAGATGAATATTATGGCGTAAACCAAAAACGAATTGTTTCACATTCTGCATTATTTCTAAATGACAATTCAGATGTGAGTAAATGAGTAACAGAATTATTATCTTTTTTTTTTATTTGCTTCCATTAAAGCACAAGATGCTTTTTGGAGCAAAATAATGCTATTGTTAAAGAAAAAGGGTGAGATATTGTCATACATGTTAAAATATTTTTTTTTCCCAAACAGTACTATTTTAGTATTCCTTATATACTATTATAGCACTTATTAATATTATTGAATTATTTTACTTTTTATAAAAATTTTATTATAATATTTTGAATTTTTACATTTTCACTTTTCACTTTGATTTTAGGAACTTTGTTTTGCACGTCATTTTTATTCGTTTTTGTTTTTAATATTTATATTTGTTTAATATCATTATACATAGCAATGTTATATATAATATTACTATTAATACATGTTAAATCATGTATTTGTTAAAATGTTTGAATTTTTTTATACTATTCTAGCATTTATTAATATTTTGAATTAATATTGAATTATTCATATTATTTCATTATTGTTGAAATATTTTGGAATTTTTAAATTTTCAGTTTTCAATAAAATTTTTGCACTTTTGTCATTTTTATTAGTTTTAGTTTTTTAATATTTCTATTTGCTTAATATCATTATACATAATATTATTATATATACTGTAGTATTACTATTACTATTAATAATATCATATATAAAAGTAAAATGACTATAAAAGTCATTTTAGTGTGTAATCGTATTTATTTCATTTATTTGCTAATGCAACATTTTCATTTGAGATTTTTAAGTGTAAGTTTTCCATCTAATATTTGTTTTATTTCTTATTTTTTTAAATTAATGAAATACCATTTTTGACGATTTTAGTTTAGTTATTACAATAACAACAATGCATTCAACTTTTCACTCAAATTACTGATAATACAATTTGTCATGATGCAAAATTTAAGCTTTTTTTTCCCACATTCGGTCTCAGACTTTTTGGAAATAATTGCAAAATCATCTGAAACGCAGATTCAATTTTGGATTTATGTGCCTAATGTGTTCAGTAGCCTAAAGTATGTTCAAGAGGCCAGCACACTGTATATACATATTATTATTATATATACTGTAGTATTACTATTACTATTAATAATATCATATATAAAAGTAAAATGACTATAAAAGTCATTTTAGTGTGTAATCGTATTTATTTCATTTATTTGCTAATGCAACATTTTCATTTGAGATTTTTAAGTGTAAGTTTTCCATCTAATATTTGTTTTATTTCTTATTTTTTTAAATGAATGAAATACCATTTTTGACGATTTTAGTTTAGTTATTACAATAACAACAATGCATTCAACTTTTCACTCAAATTACTGATAATACAATTTGTCATGATGCAAAATTTAAGCTTTTTTTTTCCCACATTCGGTCTCAGACTTTTTGGAAATAATTGCAAAATCATCTGAAACGCAGATTCAATTTTGGATTTATGTGCCTAATGTGTTCAGTAGCCTAAAGTATGTTCAAGAGGCCAGCACACTGTATTGCATAATGAAGGCCATGAATCCATTATTTCCTAATGGTTTAATATTGATCAATGTTTCCTTCAGGGAGGGAAACTCACCTGATCATCACCAGAACATCACCTACAACCAGCTGTTGAGAAACGTGTGCCGATGTGCCAATGCATTGAAGCTGTTGGGTAAGACCATCCTCCTCCTCTGGGTTTGAGTTTGCTCAGCTTTTCTAGAATGCAAATGCAATGTTAGTGCGTTCAGCCTGAACTTCTGACGTGAGTATTTTTCCTAATGCTTTCAGATTTACATTGATGTTTATTTCTGTGATCCAGGTGTGAAGAAAGGAGACAGAGTCGCCATCTACTTACCCATGATTCCAGAGCTGGTGTACACGATGCTGGCCTGTGCGAGAATCGGAGCTGTTCACTCGATAGTGGTGAGCAGCTTTACAGATCTGTAGTAGTTTTACATTAAATAAATATTCTGGGTTGAAAAGGAATAGTTCGCCTGAAAATGCTAATTTGCTGAAAATGTACTCACTCTCAGGCCATCCCAGATGAAGATGAGTTTGTTTCTTCATCAGAACAGATTTGGAGAATTGTAGCATTACATCACTTGCTCACTGATGGATCCTCTGCAGTGAATGGGTGCCGTCAGAATGAGAGTCCAAACAGCTGATAATGTAGTTTTACATTAAATAAATATTCTGGGTTGAAAAGGAATAGTTCGCCTGAAAATGCTAATTTGCTGAAAAAGTACTCACTCTCAGGCCATCCCAGATGAAGATGAGTTTGTTTCTTCATCAGAACAGATTTGGAGAATTGTAGCATTACATCACTTGCTCACTGATGGATCCTCTGCAGTGAATGGGTGCCGTCAGAATGAGAGTCCAAACAGCTGATAAAAACATCACAATAACATCTTGTGAAGCCAAAAGCTGCATGTTTCTGGCCAACTGATGTCTCTCACATCAAAATCCACCGCTTGATATGTGCATATTTCTCTCCTGAATCACAAATTCATCATTAAGATGTTTTTAACTTTAAACCATTGCTTCTGGCTAAAATGCAAGTCCATAATCCATAATATTGTTTTCTCCAGTGAAAAAGTCATCTTGTCTGATTCAGGAGAGAAATATGCACACATCAAGCGGTGGATGGCCAGAAACATGCAGCTTTTGGCTTCACAAGATGTTATTGTGATGTTTTTATCAGCTGTTTGGACTCTCATTCTGACGGCACTTCTGGCTAAAATGCAAGTCCATAATCCATAATATTGTTTTCTCCAGTGAAAAAGTCATCTTGTCTGATTCAGGAGAGAAATATGCACATATCAAGCGGTGGATTTTGATGTGAGAGACATCAGTTGGCCAGAAACATGCAGCTTTTGGCTTCACAAGATGTTATTGTGATGTTTTTATCAGCTGTTTGGACTCTCATTCTGACGGCACCCATTCACTGCAGAGGATCAATTGGTGAGCGAGTGATGGAATGCTACATTTCTCCAAATCTGATGAAGAAACAAACTCATCTACATCTTGGATGATGTAAGGATGGGTACATTTTCAGCAAATTAGAATTTTTAGGTGATCTACACCTTTAAGCTCTATCATCTGTCGAGGATGGTCTGAAGGAGAGTTTAAACTCGGATCAGTATTTAGCACGGTATCATTAATATGCATGAAATGAGTACATCCTCATTTACCCTTCCAAGTCTATTTCTGCCCGCCAAGCCTCTTTAACCATGTAAAGGTTATAGATGGTGTTAAAAATAACACACGAGCGCTTTCCAGGGTAGTTTTATATCTGATATCAAAGCCTGTTTTTAAGTTTGGATGATGACACCATTTCAGCCAAACTGTAATTGTATTCATTTGTATTGGAACCTCAGATATCCATATTATTTATCTTGAGCATATGCAAAAGCATTTAACCCTCTCCTGTCTTCCTCATTCAGTTTGCAGGTTTCTCGTCTGAGTCTCTGTGCGAGAGGATCGTGGATGCTCAGTGCAACATCCTGGTAACAGCAGGTAACACTAAGTGTTTTCTTAAGGTGGAGGTCTGGATCTTTAGACTGACTGTATGTTTATTGGGTTTGTTTAGTAGATGAGCTCACAATGAGCTGTTACAGATAAGCTTGAAATACAGTTAGTGATAAGATAATGTGACGAGAGATGTGATGTGATGTTTACAACACCGGAAATCCTGTGTAGTCACCCTTTGGGCGAGTGAAGTCTGAATCCCATTTTGTGGCTTATTCAGGTCTGTCAGTCATGAAAAAAATGATGCACCAAAGTTTTGTGTGACGTTTTGGTGCAGGTAAATGTGAAATCAGATTTATGGATGAAGAAAAAAAAACAGAAATGTATTTATATATTTTTATATAAAAAAATGTAATATAAAATGTATAACATAAAATATAAATATAATTTAAATTATATTATATTTCATTGTTTTTAGATATTTAATATATATGTACACACACACATGCACACACATATATGTGACTCTGGAGTACAAAAGCAGTGTTGAGTCGCTGGGGTATATTTGTAGCAATAGCCAACAATACATTCAAAACAGTCAAAATTATTGATTTTTCTTTTATGCCAAAAATCATTGGAATATTAAGTAAAGATCATGTTCCATGAAGTTATTTTGTAAATTTTCTACCGTAACTATATCAAAACGTAATTTTTGATTAGTAATATGCATTGCTAAGAACAACTTTAAAGATGATTTTCTCAATATTTAGATTTTTTTGCTCCCTCAGATTCCAGATTTTCAAATAGTTGTATCTCGTCCAAATATTGTCCTATCCTAACAAACCATACATCAATCGAAATATTATTTATTCAGCTTTCAGATGATGTATACATCTCAATTTAAAAAAAAATGGACCCTTATGACTGGTTTTATGGTCCAGGGTCCTATATATACACACATGTGTGTGTGTGTGTGTGTGTGTTTGCTGCATATATCAAAATAATTAAAAAATGTATCACAGTTTCCACAAAAATATTAAGCAGCAACTGTTTTCAACATTGATAATATTAAGAAGAATAAATCTTTCATAAGCAGCAAATCAGCATATTAGAATGATTTCTGAAGGATATTACCTTACATATGTTTATATTAATTAAAAAATATATGAATAATGGGAATTATTTCTGGGAAAAAGTGTGAATGAAGATTTGAGCAGAAAATATAGGTAAGATTTTAATAGTTTTTCTTTATTCAAAATAGTATTATTATATGAATATTATTAATATATTAAGTATACTACTATTAATATAATATATATATATATATATAATGATAATATTGATAATATATATATAATAATAATATTTTTCCAACCTGCAACCTTATAAAAACATTTGTTTCCTAACGGACTGATAAAATCCTGTGCATCATCCTAAAGTCCATCTTTCTCCTCACCTCTCTTTGTCATCCCATCTCATGTGTTTTTGCTCTCTCTCTCTCTCTCTCTCTCTCTGTGTTTGTGTGTGTATATGTGTTCTACAGATGGTGTTTACAGAGGTGACAAGCTGATCAATCTGAAGAAGATTGCGTCTGAAGCTCTGGAGCGCTGTAAGGAGAGGTACGTCCCTGTCTGCTGCTCTCTGCTATCAGAGGAACCTCCGTTTACATCAACCTCTCACCCGTCCATTACAAACACACACACACACCGGAGCACTCACCCTATCACAGACTGTCAGGGGTTGCCGAGCAACAGCACAGTTTGGAACCCTTCGCTTCATCTCACCATGGCAACATGTGAAATGAGACATACGCATCATAGAGCAAACACGGGTGTGGATTTGTAACATGTGACTGAATGATGATGTCGTTGATTTGGCACATTAATCATTTATGAATTTTGATGGTATCACTCAATAAATTACATAATGCCATGATGAAAACATTACTATTATTATTCACACTTACTCATAAGAGCTTAGAACAGTCAATATGCACATTTTTTTGCTTTTAAATATGATTTGATGTACGTACTGTGTTCTCTGTCTCGCTCAGCATGGCCTCGTGTGTTCAGAAGTGTGTGGTGGTCAAACATCATGCCTTCAGAACAAACACTGATGCTTCCAACAAACTACAGGTTGGTCAAACTGTCAAGTTGTATGGACTACTTACAGTATATGATGGTTTTCTAGCAGGAAAAAATTTAAATAGAGCAAATGTAAAATTCTCTTAAATCCAGCACTTAAATTAATGACCATACTATTGTTTCTTTTGTGTGTGTGTGTGCTCCAGACCCCGTGGGATGAATCATGTGACATTTGGTGGGATGATCTGATGGACGGTGTGTCAGACGAGTGTGAACCGGAGTGGATGGACTCAGAAGATCCTCTCTTCATTCTTTACACCAGCGGCTCGACCGGAAAACCCAAGGCACCTAGAATTTATATAATATAGAAGTTTTATATATATAGTACAGCACATACACACACTAATGTGCAAAAGTTCGGCTCAGTATGATTTTTCTTTTTGAAATAAATTAATATTTACAGGTGCATCTCAATAAATTAGAATGTCGTGGAAAAGTTCATTTATTTCAGTAATTCAACTCAAATTGTGAAACTCGTGTATTAAATAAATTCAATGCACACAGACTGAAGTAGTTTAAGTCTTTGGTTCTTTTAATTGTGATGATTTTGGCTCACATTTAACAAAAACCCACCAATTCACTATCTCAACAAATGAGAATATGGTGACATGCCAATCAGCTAATCAACTCAAAACACCTGCAAAGGTTTCCTGAGCCTTCAAAATGGCCTCTCAGTTTGGTTCACTAGGCTACACAATAATGGGGAAGACTGCTGATCTGACAGTTGTCCACAAGACAATCATTGACACCCTTCACAAGGAGCCACAACAGCAAAAAAATCCATAAATATATGAAGCAGCACAACTGTTTTCAACATTGACAATAATCAGAAATGTTTCATGAGCAGCAAATCAACATATTAGAATGATTTCTGAAGGTCATGTGACACTGAAGCCTGGAGTAATGATGATGAAAATTCAGCTGCACATCACAGCAATAAATTACAGCAGAAAACAGTTATTTTAAATTGTAATAATATTTCACAATTTTTTACCAAAAATTGGTAAAAGTATTTTTGATCAAAACATTGTCTAAAAATTGCAAAACAGCAATATTTATTTCCAGTATGTTAACTGGACACCACTTGATGAATTAATGTGACAACAATTTTAGTATGATATTGTTTAGAGAAGCTTCAGCAGCACATACTGCTTCATATACTATTTTTTTATAAAAAAGTAGGCAGCATGCAGTATATACTGCACATACAGTGTGCACTAAGCAGTGTGCTAGTATTCATTCCTTCATTTCTGTACAGGGGGTCCTTCACACCGTCACTGGATATATGCTCTATACATCACTGACCTTCAAATATGTCTTTGATTATCACCATGATGACGTTTACTGGTGCACTGCAGACATTGGCTGGATAACAGGCCACTCCTACATCACGTACGGCCCTTTAGCCAACGGCGCCACCAGCGTGCTGGTAAGAAATATAATGCAGAATATTCACTTGCACAAACTGGGAAATTGTGAACATGTTTCTACAAAATTCAGCATAGCTTTTACTGTCATTAAAAAATATATGAAGTCAATTTGATCTAAGATTCATCAGTTTGAATGAGTGTGATGTGGTGTGTAGTTTGAAGGTGTGCCGGTGTATCCTCATGTGGGCAGACTGTGGGAGATCATTGAGAAGTACAGAGTCTCTAAGTTCTACACCGCACCCACTGCTATACGACTGCTGATGAAATACGGGAGAGAACCACTGCAGCGGTGAGCACACACACACACACACACACACACACACACTCATAGGGACCAAAAATGTCCCCACAAGGACAAGGATTTTGGATATTGCCATCTTTGTAGGGACATTTTGTCCCCATAATGTAGTGTATCCACACACACTGTATATATGCTTTACAGGGACTCTTCATAGGTGTAATAGTTTTTATACTGAGCATATTTTTCGATTTTCTATCCCCTGAAGTAACCCTACCCCTAAACATAACCCTCACAGAAAACTTGTTTAGTATTGTTTTTAAACCTTTTGGTTTACAATTACACAGGAAGTCTAATAATCTAAATATTACTACTATAAACTAACCCACACTCAATCAGAAAACTTAATGTGCTTTAGAATTTTTTTTTTTAAATAATGGTAAAAATTATAATTTCTAAAATGAATACAATTTCGTTTATTTTACACATTTATTGCTATAAATATTTTACACACACACACACACACACACACACAAATATTATTATGATTAAAGTATGATACATCATTTTTACAATTATTTTTACAACTATTGTACAAATATCGTTTTTCCCTAACCTAACAGAGAAAAATGAAATAAACAATTATTATTAATAATTAATAACAATTAGTATTATTTTAAAAAATTACATTAAAAATAACAATTATTGTTAACATGTTATAATAATAACACCAATAATATTATAATGATAAAAACATATAATAGTAATTAATAATTATATACATAAATATTACTATTATTATATTATACAAAGGGCTGTCCTCCAGGGGGCGCTGGAGGCCTCAGAAAACCAAAGGCATCACTGAGCACTGTTCAAATCTCCGGATGTTTTATTTGACTCATTAAAGATACTGCAACAGGTCAAGCTAGTCCTGCTGTGACCTGGTAGAGATCACACATTCATGTCATCTCTCATTGGTGTGATGCTTACAGGGACTGTTTACACCATCAAAGGTTGTTAGCGCCACCTATTGGACAGAAATTATTTTAGAAAAAATACCTTCTGCAAATATTGTTTTTTACACAACATACAGCTTGTGCTTCAGACATGGATGGTTTTTGTCTGTTTTGAGATATGCTATAAATATTGCAAACTAGTTATGTGAGTAATCTTGCGTCTGTCTGTGTCAGGTATGATCTGTCCAGTTTGCGTGTGTTGGGTACGGTTGGAGAACCCATAAACCTGGAGGCTTGGCTTTGGTATTATGATGTTGTGGGTCAGCAGCGCTGTCCGGTTATTGACACCTTCTGGCAAACAGAGACGGTAAAACATTTACAATTATCAAAACAAAACAAGACCAGTTTTTTTGGAACAAAGTTGCCTAAAACCCCCTTTAACCGTGTTAAAATAAAGCAATAAGCCCCAAGAAGCTGTGGTTTACAGTGAATTTATAACAGCTAAGGGGCGTCGACGTGGAGCGGAGAACCCCTTCAGCTGTTATAAATTCACTGTAAACCACGGCTTCACAGGCCTTATTGCTTTTATAAAACGGTTATTCCATATACATAGTAAGGTTTCACAAAATAAAACAGAGCAAATAAAGTGTAATGATAATAAAAACATTATTCTTCCGCCAAACAATGTCGTTTCTCAGAAACGGTTAGAGTAATTTACAACGGCTTCGAACACGGCTCAACCAATCAGAATCAAGGACCAGAACTATTCGTTTTATAATCAGAATTTTACCACAAAGTGCATTATTGCTTGTATAAAATGTCACATAATACTCACTAATGCTCAACTAATACTAAGTTTGTTGTGTCGGCAGGGTGGCCATGTTTTGACTCCACTTCCAGCTGCTACACCACTGAAGCCTGGATCTGCTGTGAGTCTCCTGAAAATCACCTTGACGTATTACATCTTACGTCTTATGAAACTGTTAATAATGGGGATGGATGACTCTGATATTGAAGTGTCCTCTCTGTGCAGACGTGCCCATTTTTTGGAGTCCAGCCTGCCATTCTCAATGAACATGGAGAAGAACTAGAGGGCGAGGCGGAGGGATACCTGGTGAGACTTTCATCCTAGTTATCCCAGCTGTTATTTCCAAACTGCATGCGTTTTTTCTCTGAACATGAACGGATGTTTTGGTCTCAGGTTTTCCGGAAGCCCTGGCCAGGAATCATGAGGGGTGTGTACGGGAATCAGGAACGCTTTGAAAGCACCTACTTCAGAAAATTCCCAGGATTCTATGTGACAGGAGATGGTAATGTAGCAACGCAAACATATCAGAACCAGTGTTGGTGAATGCTATTTTTGAAAATGGAATGTTACATTTTTGCAAAAGTGATTAATTATGACCCATTGTTACTAATTTATAGAATTTTGTGTTACATTCTCTTATGTCTGCAAATCCATATGGCAAAAAAAAATGTCTTGCCAAAATATGTTAAATATATGCTAAATGTGTTGTAAACAGTGACGCTCAATGAAGTATATTTGTGACCCTGGAGCACAAAAGCAGTCATAAGTCGCTGGGGTATATTTGTAGCAATAGCCAAAAATACATTGTATGGGTCAAAATTATAGATTTTTCTTTTATGCCAAAAATCATTAGTATAATAAAGATCATGTTCCATGAAGATATTTTGTAAATTTCCTACTGTAAATATATCAAAACTTCATTTTTGATTAGTAATATGCATTGCTAAGAACTTCATTTGGACAACTTTAAAGATGATTTTCTCAATATTTAGATTTTTTTGCACCCTCAGATTCCAGATTTTCAAATAGTTGTATCTCGACACAAATATTGTGGAATATCAGTGGAAAGCTTAGTGTGTATAAATCTCAATTTAAAAAAATGGACCCTTATGACTGGTTTTGTGGTCCAGGGTCACATTTAGTAAAATACGTTTCACATTTCATAGGCCAAAATATATTTCAAAATGTATTCCAATCTTACTGTGTTATGTTCACATAAACATCTATTAAAAAAAATAAAAATAAAAAATGATATACTGTATATATATATAAATTAAATAAATATCAGACAAGTTACAAATTAAGAAAAAGTCATTTAGGTATTATGATGTGAATTCAAATGTAAGGTTGCTTTACATGTTTCTTCCAGAAAGCAATCAAATTAAAATCACATCTAATGAAAGCGACAAATTATGATGAATTTTGCAATTAACATATTTTATATGGACTTTTGTATCTCATCTCAGTTAAATGAAAAGCATTATGCATTGCTTGCACATTTACTCCATACAAAAAAAAAAGAAGAAAAAACTAATGCGCTACTTTACAGGTTACATCCAAAAAGCAACCTGACTGAATAACATGCAGTTACTTAATGTGTATTTGTCATGTGTGCTCAGTTTTTAATACATTACCAGTCACCATGTGGCTGTTTCAGCAGCGTCACCAAACTTCAGCATTCACTATTTACAGCATGAGCTGTTGCTGTATCATATGGCAGTATGTAACAGTTACTGTAACCGAGGGTCCTTCTGTCCTCAGGCTGCAGGCGAGACCAGGATGGATATTACTGGATCACAGGCCGGATCGATGACATGCTGAACGTCTCTGGTGAGATTGAGATTCTGCTTCAGTGCTGTCACCTGGTGGTTAGAGACAGCATATTCATTTTCCTCATTCCTTCTCAGCATTCGAGAGACTTTTAAAGCAACTGGACGTTTGTTTTATTACGTTGAAATATCACTTTTCAAATCATTCTGATGGTACACTGGCTTCTAATAAGGAGAATGGCTTCTGTTTCCTTCCCAAACATCTGTTCTGGAAGCATGTCAGTTTAGTGAGTGGGTACGAAATTCCACGAAAACAGCGGATCGCTTTACGGCAGCAACAAATGTGCATGCACAGCTATCCACTGTAATTACGACAGTAATAGGCTATAATTATGACAGTGAATTCCACTTATTTAACTGTAGGCGGCTTCAAAGTCACAAAAATACATAAAACTATATGCAGAACTTCATACAGTTGCTTTAACATCTGTAATATGGCATATTTCTAAGTGAAATAACATGTATGAAACACAAAATATGTGCAAAACACAGAACAGGACATTTATTAAAATAGTAAATAGCTTTAGTTATCTTTTAGAGTACTAGATAGCAGCTTTTATATGTATATATACTGTATATATATATATATATATATATATATATATATGCAGTGCAGTATATACTTGTCAAAAGTTTAGAAACATTGTGATTTTTGAATGTTTTTGATGAAGTCTCTTCTGCTCACCAAGGCTGCAATTATTTGATCAAAAATACAGTAAAAACCGTAACACAGTGAAATATTATTACAGTTCGAAATAACTGATTTCTGTTTGAAAAGATGTTAAAAATGTCATTTATTTCTGTGATCAAAGCTGAAGTTTCAGCATCATTAGTCTCAGAAATCATTCTAATATGCTGATTTGCTGCTCAAGAAACATTTCCGATATCAATGTTGCAAAAAGTTGTGCTGCTTCAAATTTTGGTGGAAACCATGTAAAAAAAAAAAATTTGGATTTTTTATGAATCGAAAGTTCAGCACTGATTTGAAATGGAAATCTTTTGTAGCATTATGAATGTCTTTACTGTCACTTTTGACCAATTGAATGCATCCTTGCTGAATAAAAGTATTAATTTTTTTAAAAGAACAATCATACAGACCCCAGACTTTTGAACAGCAGTGTCTCGTCTCTCAGGTCATTTGTTGAGCACAGCAGAGGTGGAGGCGGCTCTGACCGAACACCCATCGGTGGCTGAAGCTGCGGTGGTCAGTCGGCCTCATGCAGTGAAGGGAGAGTGTCTGTACTGCTTCGTCACTCTGAAAGACCACAAAGAGTTCAACCGCACGCTGATGGAGGAACTAAAGAGAAAAGGTCAGAGGTCATGATCACATTAAACACGGACAGAAAATGCAATCTGCATCTATTCCGCACTTACTAACATGGGTTTTTCATTCAGTGAGGGAGAAGATCGGACCAATCGCCACCCCAGATTTCATCCAGAACGCTCCAGGGCTTCCCAAAACCCGTTCAGGTACTGGGATCTTGCATTTTCAGTTTCTCCCCACATCTCTGCTTTCACTCCTAAACTCAAGCGTTTCACCCGTCCTGCAGGTAAGATCATGCGAAGAGTTCTGCGACAAATCGCCCGCAATGAAAAAGACCTGGGTGACCTTTCGACCCTGGCTGACCCCAAGGTCGTGGAGGTGCTGTTCAGCCAAAGATGTGAGGCGGCAGCGTAAATTCATCTATGATCCATCCCTTTTGATGGCTCTGTGTGTCAGCTTGTGTGTGGTAAGGACTTTGGGTTTGGGTTAGAACGGGCTCTGGTTCTCCTAGATCAGATCGAATGGGGTGTAACTCCTTTCGTGAATCAGGTAAAACAAACAACAATCACTAACAAAGTGTTTCATGAAACCTCACCCCTGGACACTAAACTTCTCACTTCAGTCAGAGTTTCATTGATTTTTTTTTTCTGTTCTGTCAGGGGATATATTATGTAAATATTTTTGGTTTGTTTGTGATGTTTTTCAGTGCCACAAAAATTTATTTACATTTGCTTTTAATTACATCCATAATTGCAGTTTCTCTCACTAAATTATTTCATATCATTTAAACAATTTTTATAGTAGACAACAGGAGAATAAAATCACTTCGTTATTTCATTTCTCAAAAGAGATCAGCAATATTAGAAATTTTCGTTTTGAACTTTGAACCTAGCAGGCTTGACTGTTTTTTTTCTTCCAATTTTATTTGATATTAAACAATTGTTAGAGAAATGTGCCATTTTTTTCATGGCGTCTTGTCCTGGATGAATGAGCTTTTACAAAACCAGTTGTTAATGCTACTTTGACAGATCTGGACACTAAACTTCTCACTTCAGTCAGATTTTCATTGATTTTTTTTCTTCTGTTCTATCAGGGGATATATTATGTAAATATTTTTGGTTTGTTTGTGATGTTTTTCAGTGCCACAAAAATTTATTTACATTTGCTTTTAATTACATCCATAATTGCAGTTTCTCTCACTAAATTATTTCATATCATTTAAACAATTTTTATAGTAGACAACAGGAGAATAAAATCACTTCGTTATTTCATTTCTCAAAAGAGATCAGCAATATTAGAAATTTTCGTTTTGAACTTTGAACCTAGCAGGCTTGACTGTTTTTTTTCTTCCAATTTTATTTGATATTAAACAATTGTTAGAGAAATGTGCCATTTTTTTCATGGCGTCTTGTCCTGGATGAATAAGCTTTTACAAAACCAGTTGTTAATGCTACTTTGACAGAAATATTAGTTCCAAGTAGTTTAACAGTAATAATTGCACTTTTCTGTTTTATGTTTTTATGAAATAAAGCATATATCTCTTATTGTTATTTGTTATATACTGTATGTTATTTGCATTTATTAAAAGTTGTTGTTTTTGCTAGTTTTGTTGAAATATGTATATAAAGCTCATATTTTAAAGGGGTCATAGGATGCTTCCTCCAGAAGAAGTGAGTATAAGGTTTTTTTAATGAATCTTTGCAAATCGCCTTTCCTAATAATGTGCTAATTAGCCATTTTCACCATGAATGCAGCTAAAGTAAACAGTCCCTCAGAGAGCAGCTCGGAAGAGAGGGGCGGGGTCAGCAGAGCTCATTAACATTTAAAGGAAAATGCCACAAAACGGCATGCTCTGAAAAGAGCTGTTTTTGACAGGGTAAACTGTCATAAACTACCATTGAGAAATTTTAACCAAACTATGAACCCTAATGAATCAAATCAGTTTGTGGAAAATGGGCATCCGATGACCCCTTTTAACAACAACAACAAAATATTTATGACTATTAATATGTTTAATGTGAGTTTGCTTTGAGTCATTTTTCGCTGAAGTTTTCATTACTCATTATTTTTATTTTTTAAAGAAGGTACATTTTAATAATGAATAATTTTATTCATGCTAAACCCCAACTCTAAACCTTAACCTAAAACAAACCTGTCGATTTGAAAGTAGATTTAAAGTAAAACATGATTTGACTGATTTATGAGCTATTCAATAGTAAAGAGCACATCGATATCATATACCATCATAGTTTTAAAAATGTCACTTAATTTGTTAGGTCGAAACGTATGGCCTTCACAAATAAATAGCCAAACATATAGACACACTCTCTCACACACACACACACGCACACACACTCCCCCTTGTGGCTCGTTGAGAAAAATACACCCTTGACCCCTCTCTATCTGTACATCCAGCACTTCTGTCCTGTTGTGTTCTGTTGAGATCTTAATCTTTCTATGTTCACAAGCAATGGAAGATTTTGTTCTTTATCAAAAGATCATTTTTTTCAAGCTCTGATCGGATCATCTCCTTTTTCTTCCTGTTTAAGCTCCATCACAACAGATGCTTCCATGAAACAGTGTAATATTACAAGAGCTTAAAAAATCATACGATTTAAATAAGAACTATAAATAAGAAGTATTTTCTTAAGAGTTTTACATCGTAACATAATGTTAGTGTTATATCATCATTACATTGAACTGTTATGTAATGTGTTTACCAGGATTTATCACAGACATTTTCTTGATGCTCTGGTGGATTTAAATTAATTTTGCATTGTGTGTAATATTTTTATGGACGCACTTGAGGGCTGAATGAAACAAACTGAGTTGACATAACTGTACAAACAGATGCAAGACGAGAAAAATCTGCATCTGAATATCATGACATCTATTTGGGCTGCAGTGGTGCCGTTACCATGACAACAGTCATCTTGGCAAGACCCTTCATCTTAACAAGAGTGTGCAAAGGTTTAGCAGCCCGACAATGACTGTGCCATCTGCCGCTCACACACACACACACACACACACACCGTCTTGCAAGACTCAAGTCTTCTGGCTCCAGATCTGCTGTCGCAGGCTTTCACTCTATTATACTGAATTACAGCTGTAAAATCATTCAAAGTTCTGCCAATCTGTGTTGATAGAGAGACAGAAGATGAAAGAAATTATATGAAAGAGAGAAATGAAAGGAAAGCAAAGACAGAAAGAACAACAGAAATCAATGGCCAAACGGACGGACGCATGGACGCATGGACGGATGGATAATAGGATAGATAGATAATAAAAGGAACGATGGATGGATGGATGGATGGATAGAAGGAAATGATGGATGGATGGATGGATGGATGGATGGATAATAGGATAGATAGATAGATAGATAGATAGATAATAAAAGGAACGATGGATGGATGGATGGATATCTGCTGTCGCAGGCTCTTCACCTTCTGCTGGGAGAAGAACAAACTCTGGCTTTCACTCTATTATACTGAATTACAGCTGTAATCATACAGCTGTATCATTCAAAGTTCTGCCAATCTGTGTTGATAGAGAGACAGAAGATGAAAGAAATTATATGAAAGAGAGAAATGAAAGGAAAGCAAAGACAGAAAGAACAACAGAAATCAATGGCCAAACGGACGGACGCATGGACGGATGGATAATAGGATAGATAGATAGATAGATAGATAGATAATAAAAGGAACGATGGATGGATGGATGGATAGAAGGAAATGATGGATGGATGGATGGATGGATAATAGGATAGATAGATAGATAGATAGATAGATAATAAAAGGAACGATGGATGGATGGAGGGATGGATGGATGGATAGAAGGAAATGATGGATGGATAGATAGATAGATAGATAGATAGATAGATAGATAGATAGATAGATAGATAGATAGATAGATAGATAGATAGATAGATAGATAAAAGGAACGATGGATGGATGGATTGTTTGATGTAGAAATGGATGGATGGATGGGTGATAGATAGATATAGACGAACAGACAGATATAGATATATGAATGGGTGCTGATAGTAGTTTGTTTTGACAGCTGCAGTCATCTGAATGTCACTCGTGAGGTTCAGAGCTCCACAGATCCAATCACTTATTTGATTACAGATTCTCATCCACACAGATCGGATTAATGTTTAGGAGGACACTGAGAGGACGGAGACGTTCACGCTTGTGTAAGATCAGACGTGGAAACCCATTACCATGATGAAGACGATTAGCTGAAGCAGCAGTGGAAGTCCAAACACAAAAGTACACAGCGGATCTGAAACACACGGACGGGACAATTAGATCAACAGACAGATTTGTTGGAATGAGATCACAGTCATTTTCTTATCAGGACCCAAGAGTCAAGCTCAGACTCAAACGAGATCTCAAATCCATTTCCAGTGACAATGCAACAATACAATCAGTCTGCAGTCAGTTATTAGCACTGTTTCCTAAGGCGAGCATTTCCGCTATAGTATAAGACTGAGATATTTTTAACTTTAAACGTTCACTTCTGGCCAAAATATGAGTTCATAATCCATAATAACGCTTCCCCCAGGGAAAAAGTCCATCACCTGTTGTCCTCTCTCATCAAAATCCACACACACATATTTGTTTAGAGGTGTTTTGGACTGTTTTTGTTTGTAAACAGTGTTTGATCTGTGCATATTTCTCTCCTGATTCAGACCAGACAAGAAAGCAATATCATATTCATATTTTAGCAGGAAGTGACAGTTTGAAGTTAACAACAGTTTAATGATGGATTTGTTTCTTTCAAACATGCACAATATATTCATTGATGGACTGGAGTGCTGTGGATTACTTGTGGATTATTGTGATGTTTTTATCAGCTGTTTGGACTCTCATTCTGACGGCACCCATTCACTGCAGAGGAGCCACTGGTGAGCAAGTGATGCAATGCTACATTTCTCCAAATCTGTTCTGATGAACAAATAAACTCATCTGCATTTTGGATGGCTTGAGGGTGAGGACATTTTCATTTTGGGGTGAACTATTCCTTTAAAAGGACATAAAAGTCCTAATAAATGTCACCTTTGTGTTCTCTTGTATCAGCAGTTCCTGATGTCCAGATGCAGTGATTATGTAACAGTTCAAAGCCTCATTTATCTCTCAGGTGCTGTTAGAGTAATCTAATACAGGCCGTGACCTTCCCCTCCAGCACCTGATGTGATCCTCCTCTGAGTCTGTGAGTTTATAATGACGCAGCACTCGCCACTTTAATCTCAACTGCACAAACTCACACTCGACACTGTGTGTTACACTGAAATGAAAGGATTTGAGAGTCCTGAGAAATCTCCTTACAGCAACCCCATGCCTGCAGATCACAGACCTGCTGTCATCCACACGCTCATGTCCTCAAACCGTCTTTGAAAGTTTTAAGCTTTTCTGCTCATTTTATGACCTGCAACTATCAGCAGTTTCTCTAGCCGTTCTCTCTGAAATAGGTTCCAACAAATAATACCAGGCTTTCTATACCATATTAATTTAGACGTATACAATTAATGTTACAATTAATTTTTTATGTTTTTGAAAGAAGTCTCTTCAGTCTGTTCACCAAGGCTGCATTTATTTGATCAAAATACAGTAAAACACTAAAATTGTGAAATATTATTACAATTGAAAATAACTGTTTTCTATTTGAATATAGAATGCAATTTACTCCAGTCTTCAGTGTCACATGATCCTTCAGAAATCATTCTAATATGCTGATTTGCTGCTCAAGAAACATTTTTTGGTTATGATCAGTGTTGAAAACAGTTTTGCTGCCCAGTATTTTTCTGACAAATGTGATGCTTTTTTTTTTTTATTCTTTGATGAACAGAAAGTTCAAAAGAACAGCATTTTTTAAATGGAAATCTTTCATAACAAACAGACATTAAATATCTTTACTTTCACTTTATAAACTATGTAATGAATAAATACTTGCTGAATGAAAGTATTAATTTCTTTAAAAAACACTATATATATGAAATAAATAAATCCATAAACATTATTTTTTGTAAATACACATTCAATTTATTACCAATTTAACACTCTATCATTAGACATCTGACAGTGACTTCATTTAAAACATTCATAATTTTTTTTTCATTTTCCTCCAAAGAAAGATCTGAATTCATAATAACATCTATACAAAGACCAGTTAATAGATACAATAATGGGCTTAAAAAGTGTTCTTAATTGTGTCAATGCAAATTCAATGGCAACGAAAATGACACAAGCCGCCACACACGGTGAACGGCAGTGTGTGTGTGTGTGTGTGTGTGGGCTTACATCATGAGCTTTATCACAAGGTACAACAGCATCTGAGGACATGCACTAAAGTGCTAGTGTTTAAAGGCATGCATATCAAATATGATATCTGCACAACTGCTGTCCAAACCCTAGTCTACACATCCAGAAGAAACGTGCACTGGATTCCTAATGGAACAGGTGTCATATTTTGGAACCAATCCTAAACCATTGGATACTATCCTATCCATTTCAAAAGAAATAGTTCACCCAAAAATGCTAATTTTCTTAAAGTTTACTCACCTTCAGGCCATCCAAGATGTAGAGGAGTTTGTTTCTTCATCAGATTTGGAGAAATCTAGCACTGCATCACTTGCTCACCAATGGATCCTCTGCAGTGAATGGGTGCCGTCAGAATGAGAGTCCAATGAGAGTGCCGTCAGAATGAGAGTGGTGTGGATTACTTGTGGATTATTGTGATGTTTTTATCAGCTGTTTGGACTCATTCTGATGGCACCCATTCACTGCAGAGCATCCAGTGGTGAGCAAGTGATGTAATGCTACATTTCTCCAAATCTGTTCCCATGAATAAACAAACTCATCTACATCTTGCATGGCCAGACGGTGAGTACATTTTCAGCAAATGTTCATTTTGGGGTCAACTATTACTTTAAGGTTCAGTGAGCAATGTTGCACACTTTTAATTTTAGGTTTGTATCACTTTTAAACATTAGTCCTGTAGTTTGCTGCCAAACGTCTACAGTATAAAACAATGCAGTGCTAGAATGTTACAATGAGTTGCTAAGCAACAAACAACCAATCAGAGCCTGCCTCAATGGATGGCTTATTAAATATTCATGCATTTAAATCTCAGATCTGAGGGAAACATGTTGAGTTTTATTTTTATTTTTCCTCTTGGTTTTTTCAGCACGTTTCATCCAGAGCAGGTTTACATGTTACAGTTAATAAACTCCTTTACAATTGGCTTCAAATTACGACGTAACTTCCAACTGGAATCCTGCACATATTCCTTCAGGATTTTGTGACTTGGGAAATGTGCATAAGGATAATCAGTGTGTGAATATACTCTCCTGCCACCGTGTACGGAGTCGAACATTCAGTTTTACATTGGGTTTTAAAATACATTATGATTGACATCATGTATCATTAGTCCCTGTCGAACTAGAGAGTGTGTGTGTGTGTGTGTTTTTATCTCATTCTCTTTACAAATACAACTGAGTCTTTTTTAATTCAAGCATCAAAGGTTTCCAACGAAACGAGATGTACGCGGAAATTAAGAAAATAGTTTTATAAACTATATACACGGAACATCATTTGACAAATGATATTCACCCCTCCAAAATGAACAAAAATCAACACATGTAAACTTGTATGCTGTTCCGACAAACGTTATTACTATCCAGTTCGATTTTTCAGAACATCTGAAAAGAAGTTTGCGGCTTCATGACCAACACATATCGAGTGGTATGTATTGCATACATGTACACGGACACACACGGGTACGGGACCGTCGCGAGGTCACGCGTGTGTAGGCACCTCTTATGGAACACTTTGCGGTGTTTTGCGTCAGTACATTCCAGGTCCTTGATAATTCCGAAACGGAATTTCTAGAACTGTTTCCGATTGGATCAGTTCAGCTGGTGCTCACAGAACTCTGCCCTCTAGTGGCAGGGCAGTTAAAATAGTTTTTAGAAAGGTTCTCGATGGTTCCGTCGCTCCGGCGGTGTGCGTACGTGTGGTCAGGAACAGGATGGTAAAGGAGAGTGAAAGCATAAAATACAATCTTGATTTATAACACAATATTTCCCTTTTTTGGGCATTTTAGAAGTGAAATTCTAAGCTACTGTTCTACATCTTGATTGAGGTGACAGAAGGATGTAGTCTAGGCTGGTTAAGGGAAAACCTCCTGACCGGGCTCCTCTGTCTCCGGGATGGTCTGAACCGGTCTGACGGGCGAGGGGAAGCGGAACATCTCCCTTCGGTCTTTGCAGTTGGGTGAGGATGAGGGCGAGTGGGCGGCCCAGCGGGACGGAGGGCGGCGGTTGGCAGGACAGGCCGGACGCAAGAAGCAGGAGTCCAGAGGTGGAGCCACTGGTGAACGAGGCAAGTCCTGCGTCAAGAAACAAAACATAAGCTTTCAAACTTTTTTCTAACTAAGTTTATCTGTTAGCCAGTGGTAAGTCTGCAACAGTGTTGTTATTGTCAGCTCAATTGTCAAGTTGTTTTTGTTAATTGAAATAAAGCAGAAATAAAATAAAATATTAGATTAAAAAACAACAATAGAAATGTTGCCTTGGCAACTAACTGCAATAAGTTTAGGTTGAAGTCTAAAAATGACTAAAGGCCCGTTCACACCAAGGACGATAACTATAAAGATAACGATAAAGATATAGTTCTAAAAATCGTTCTCAATATTAAAGAATAGCAGAGTCCACACCACAACTATAACGATAAAGACAAAGAGAAACAATATTGTTGGAATCACTTTCCAACAAGATCGCTAATATCGTTATCTTTATAGTTATCGGTGTGAACGGGCCTTAAAGCCCCGTTCACACCGATAACGATAACTACAAAAGATAACGATATTCGCGTCCACACCAGCGAACGATATCGTCTGTTTATTCTAAGCGCATATGCGTCTGCCGCTTTAAATTCTCGAGCTCGTTACAGCAGGATGGATTTTGATTGGCTGTAATTGTTTCTATCATTCATCAGCTGGAAAAAATCGTTCTGAAAATGATTCCAGCGATATCGTTTCTCTGTGTCTTTATCTTTATAGTTGTAGTGTGGACTCTGCTATTCTTTAATATTGAGAACGATTTTTAGAACTATATCTTTATAGTTATCGTGCTTGGTGTGAACGGGCCTTTAGACTATTAAAAATTACTAAAGCTAAAATAAAAATAAATCAAAGCTAAATAAAAAAACTAAAACTATTAAAAATACTTTCATTATTTGAAATAAAGCTGAAATAAAATAAAATCAAATATAAATATTACATGAAACTTTGTAATTTAAATTAGAAATGTTGCCATGGCAACTAATTGAAACAAAAGTTGAAGTACTAAAATTAATAAAACTGAAATAAAGATTATACTAAAGCTAAATACAAATTTACTAATCTACAACTAGTAAAAAAATGTTGTTAACTGAAAGCTTAAAAAAGTACTAAAAATAAATTCAAGCTACACAAAAATAATAAAAACTAAAATGAATAAAAATAGCAAAAGAACACAACAAAATTACTAAAGTAGCTTTTTATCATCTTCGAAATATTGCTCGTATAAGACCGATTCTCTTCACATGCCTGATGCAGAAAGGCTTATTCACGCCTTTATAACATCCAGGCTTGATTATTGTAATTCTCTTTTTGCAGGGTTACCTGCAAATTTGATTAAGAGGCTGCAATATGTGCAAAATTCAGCTGCTCGTGTTTTAACTTACACACCATCCCGCAGTCATATCACTCCTGTGCTTTCTCAACTACTACTGGCTTCCAGTTCAATCACGTATTGATTTTAAAGTTCTTATCTTAACCTATAAAGCAGTAAATAAGCTGGCCCCAGAGTATATTTGTAATTTGGTCACAGTGTCTACACCATCTCGGTCTCTCCGCTCTGCTGGTTCTTTTACACTGTACCAGCCTCGTTGTAAACACAAAACTATGGGTGGGAGGCCCAGTTGTGTTGCTCCCAGGTTGTGGAATTCTCTGCCTTATCCTATTAGGAATGCTCCGTCTTTTGATTGTTTTAAGAAATTACTCAAAACATATCTCTTTATTGAAGCTTTTAAGTTATAATCTTACAGTTGTTATTGCCATTGTTGTTATTGTGTTGTCATTGTGATTGTTATTATGGAGTAGTGTTGTTTCTTTTAATGTTGTTTTATACAGTTGTAGCGCCTTTACAAATAAAATGTATTATTATTACTAAAACAAACCAATTAAAATGAAAATACAAAAATAAAAGTTAATTAAAAAGTTAAAATATAAAAAAAAATACTATAATACAATACTATAGCATATACACGTATCGGAGGCCAGCGAGTAAGTGCTGTGCAGGTAAACCTCACTCCCCTGATCTCAAGAGACGCACTAGCAACTGATGCTAGAGGCTGCAGTCTTTAGCCTCCTTGTTAGTGCGTCCGCCTCCCATGCCGGAGACCCACTCGGAGCGAGAACGAGGTGTGGCGGTGATGACCCAGGAGAGAGGGGTTGCATACATATATATACTATAGTATTAGTATATACTATATTAGTATAAACTAAAATAACACTGGTCTGCAAGCATTAGTGCTTTTACAGTTTAAACTTTTAACTAAAATGGATAAACACCCATTTCATACTGTCTGTAGCAAATAGTAAAGAATAATACTCAGTGTGTTTTGATTCAGCAGAACTTTTGCTTTCGAGGAAAAATGTGGTTTCAGCTTGATTTATTCTAAACAATTCTCCCGAGCGATAAAGCAAAAATTAAAAATGAATGAGATTCCAGCGTGAGAGGTGGATATTTTGTGTGGCCTGAATAATTCAGAAACAGGGATTTACTACGTCTACTTGAATCTGCGTTCAGTTTTTGAGTGAGACTTTGAAGCTGATACAAAGTGAGTTTAAATGGAGTCCTGCAGTTCAACTGAAACCAAAAAAAAACCTGCATGTTTTTGATTTGTTTATACACTCCAGTGAAATCATATCGAAGATGAAACCAGTCTTGTTACTGTTAACTAAAACTAAAACTAATGATTTTTCATTTTTTTAAATGTTAATTGAAATAAAGTTGAAATCAAATCAAATCTAAATATCAAAAACTTAAAACTAAAAAAATTATTAAACTAATAAAAACTAATACAAATTAGAAAATAAAAAGCAAAATGACTGAAATTATAAAAAGAAATGCTAATTCAAAATATTAATAGATACTATAAAATTGCATATAAATTATACTAAAATACCACTGTATGAAACTCATCACAAATCTATAACAATCAACCTGAAACACACTACAGTCATAACTGCAAGCTTTGAACAAGCGTGAAGTTGTTGTTAGATGTTAAGAAATGAGACCCAGTATTAGCAGCAGATGTTAAACACTGTAGCAAAGGCACAGCCAACACCAGCCAATGAACCCCAAACGACCCCAACACACCACTGTCACTGCTAGCATGCAGTAATATTGAGCGGCGCTCACGTCCTGTTAACACCAGACAGCAAACATTACAGTACAGTGAACTGAGAAAGCACAAGATGTTACGCTGTAGAGCTTCCTTCAGTTGGGCTGGTGAGGTTAAGATCCTTTGAAATGGACAAAAATAATAAAATTACAAACACGTGGCAGCCAAAGGACCTATGAAAAATAAAAAAGTGATTATATATTAATAGTAAATGGTTAAACCATCCAAAAAGCCACTTGTGAGTTTGATATACAGTGACTCCAAAGGTATTTGTACACTTAAAGGGACAGTTCACCTAAATTCAAATTCAGTAATTTACTCACCCTCACGTTGTTCCAAACCTCTATGAGTTTATTTCTTCTGTTGAAAACAAAAGAAGATATTTTGAAGAATTTTGGTAACCAAAAAGTTGACGGTAGCCATTGACTTCCATTGTATGGAAAAAAAATACTATGGATGTCAATGGCTACCGTCAACTGTTTGGTTACCAACTTTCTTCAACATATCTTTTTTGTTTAGCAGAAAAAAGAAATTCAAATGAAAAAAAAAAAAAGAATGGAGTAAATCATAACAGAATTTTCCATTTTGGGTGAACTATCACTTTAAATGTGCTGTATGTAGGATTGACACAGAGTGGTTGAACTAGGTATTGCAGTCCAAATTCAAAATATGGAGAGGGTTTTTTTTCACCCGGCCCCTCCTCCTCAGACTTGAAGCACACGCAGGTTGCCAGATTGACGACACCAACAAGAACGAGCGCACTTAACGATGAATGAAAGGCAATACGCTGTGTTTTCCGCCAACTGGCAACCTGGGGTGCCGAAATACAATTGGGTAAACTGGCAGTGGGCGGGTTTCACAAACCAAAACAGAGACCGACATTCCGTCCCTGAACGCACATTTTCAAAGGAGAATAACTGACTGTAGCATTGTTTTTCAGATAAACAAGTATGTTAACTTAGCATGTTTCTTAAATATCTGCAAACATATTATGGTGTTTTTTATGCTTTAGTAGAGTCAAAAACTTACATACAGCACCTTTAAGTCAATTTTAAAAAAGTGTCCAAATACTTTTTGTTTTGATTTCAAACACTTTTTTTTGTATTATCTTTTAAAATGTCTATTTGGGAAACACTGCACTTGAATAGTTTGCGTGTATTATTTAAAACCAACAAACAAATACATTTGAGCCACTATATATCAGACAAAGTTTTGTTGTGTTTTTCCATATGAAATCCTACCCCGTGTGGATGAATATTTGGGATAATAATTTCAGTCCAATAAAAACTCTGATAGCTTTTTGGATGACTGGTTATTGGTGACGTCATTAATATTAGACGATGGGCATGCTCACACCTACATGAGGACAAAAAAGGTGTGACCACAACAAAGCACATACAATATTTCCCATAATGCCTAGCGGTGATACGGTGTCTAGAAACTGTGTGGCATGCGGTGAGAGAAGTCCATTAAAATCAGTGAGACACAAGTGAGGTCACTGTGAGGTCAAAGGTCAAGTAAGATCGGTGGAACTTACTGCACGGCGAGCGCAAGCTGCGTTACAGTCCCCAGGGTGCAGTTAGTAAGACAGTATGGTTCTGGAGACAACCCAGAAAGACAGGAGTAAACACACTGGTCAAAATAACACAACCACATCAGACTCAGGTGAGAGGTACAGCGGGGATCTGGCAAGTCTGGCTGGGTCGCAGGGCATCTACGGTAAAACCTGTAAAAGCAGCTCACTGTCCATTAAATATAAACGTTACAGCACAATATAGAATTTTGGTGAATCTCAAAACTTGTCCAGGTCATACTTCACCCCAAAATAAAAACAAAAAACAAAAAAAAAAACACTGGAATTTGGCCCAATAAATGTTGCCCAATTATCATTACAATATTGCGATATAATAATATAATATATAATCATTATTGCATAAATAAATAAATAAGTCTTAATGCGGCAAATTTCTTAATGTAAATATACAGGTGCATCTCAATAAATTAGAATGTCGTGGAAAAGTTTATTTCAGTAATTCAACTCAAATTGTGAAACTCGTGTATTAAATAAATTCAATGCACACAGACTGAAGTAGTTTAAGTCTTTGGTTATTTTAATTGTGATGATTTTGACTCACATTTAAAAAAAAACCCACCAATTCACTATCTCAACAAATTAGAATATGGTGACATGCCAATCAGCTAATCAACTCAAAACACCTGCAAAGGTTTCCTGAGCCTTCAAAATGGTCTCTCAGTTTGGTTCACTAGGCTACACAATCATGGGGAAGACTGCTGATCTGACAGTTGTCCAGAAGACAATCATTGACACCCTTCACAAGGAGGGTAAGCCACAAACATTAATTGCCAAAGAAGGTTCTAAAAAAGTATGGAAAATAGCTTTATTATTATTATTATTATGGGGTGAAATGTGACCTTACATACTGATACATACACATATGATACATAATTTTTACTTGTTTTTACACTCAGAATATATCCGTACTTCTAATTGATATTCAGATTTATTCTGCAAGGTGACTGCCTCTATTTAAAATTCCGAACAACAGAAATAATCAATTAAAAATCAAATTTCCAATATAAAATTTATACTAACTTGAATTACTCTGTGCTTAACTGGCACAACTGTTTAGGGAATTCATCCCTTTCTTCAGTATTGTATGCATTCATGCCTAATAATATCCATTACATTTCAAAGACAAATCCCAGATGCATACACTGCTCACAAAGAACTATCTGCCTGTAATGATGTTAAAATATGTCTTTGATCATTAACATAGCATCATGGGATTGTGCAATGATGCTGCTCCTACAGTAAATGCTGCTCTGTCTATTGACAAATGTCTCGTGCTTTCATGTGAGGGATTAATCTTCCAAATAGATCGAGGTTGGTAGGCATCAAACACTGGATATAACTTTATTATGGTGAATAAGTACATCCTGCATCCAAAGTAGTTATGTAAGCTAGTTCCGCTGCAAAATAAAAAAAACAAGCAGCACATGATTATACTACTGTTAGCATTGCAACAAAGTAGCGCGCTAAAGCATGCAAGGCCTGCGATCAGGCAGCATTTGGCAGTAGGGACTGAGACTTTTTGATACTTTATTATAACATAATTTTGTACTAGTACATCCTGCATCCAAAGTAGTTATGTAAGCTAGTTCCGCTGCAAAATAAAAAAACAAGCAGCACATGATTATACTACTGTTAGCATTGCAACAAAGTAGCGCGCTAAAGCATGCAAGGCCTGCGATCAGGCAGCATTTGGCAGTAGGGACTGAGACTTTTTGATACTTTATTATAACATAATTTTGTACCTTGAAACTGCAATGTTCAAGTACCAAAACATTTAACAAGCAGCCAAATTTATACTGTAATATACACTAAGAATGAGACAAACTAAGTGTGCATGTACCCGAAGGAAATAACAAAATCACAAATGAGATCTCAAGATCTCATTTGTGTCTACCAGACAGCAATGAGATTAGACTAAATGGAGACATTTGCTTAGGTCTCCTGTTAGAAATAGACCCCAGAAATCTTATGTGTCTCCTATAGAGTTTCAGAAGAGCTCTTAACAATATCTCAAAGTGTGCTCAGATTTGCCAAGATAATAAAGTCTGAAACCAAAAGTTAGAATTTATAACAAAATCTTCATTTTGATGACAAATTACAAAGACAAACATGTGCACATGCACAATAAGACCAGGAACAACTATTAAGAAAGTAAGGTAAATTTTTCAAGTTGACTAATTCTTGTGAGCTATAAAAGAGCATAATATAGTGTTCTTTCTTTAGGTAGAATTAAATAAACCTCTCAGTTACCTCAAGACATTCTGGTTTCTCGGTGTCTCCGGTTTTGTTCGGAGCAGCTGCAGATGAAGTGGAAAGCCTCCTTTCTTCTCTGAAGCTCTGCTCCAGTAGTTTCTTATTCAAGATTCGTGCTGCGTTCTCAGCTAGCGTGTAGCCCGGGGGAGCGGACAGGTCCTGTCTGATGCTAATCACCTCTGGAGATTTCTCGCCTTGCGTCTCTACAATCAGCTGCACAGGGCTTGGGGACCGGCCCCGAGAGTTCCTCAAAGGCCCCTGTGTAGCACAAACACTGGGAGATTTGGGGTCCGCTGGCCCTTGAGGCCCTGCTTCAGTGGGACGAGAGCGGCTTGGGGACTTGTTGAATTTCTGCAAGGGGTCGTAAGCGATGGGCGTGTGGTCGATGATGCTGAAGAGGCTGGAGAGGCCATCGTTGATGGTGGTGTGAACGGGACTGTCTCTGGTCGTGGTCGAACGGGCCCAAGCGGATTCGTTGTTCCCTTTTTGCTGCTGGGCAGTGGTTGTTGGGGTGGGAGCACGTATTAGGCTGGCAGGTTGTTCTGATTTACCAGAATTAGAAGGTTTCCTTTGGAGCTTGGGTGAACCGTATTTCGGTGAACAACATGAGCGTTCAAACTTGGCCTGTACAACTGGAGAGTATTGCATCTTTCTCAGGCTACGAGAGGGAGATGAGATGGGTGTGGAGCCTCCTTTGGGTGTCAGACAGCGGTGAGGGCTGCTTGTGAGGGTGCGAAGAGCCTCTGTTTGCAATCCCACACTGATGGTCTGGGTGGTCTGTGTTCCCCGTGTGGTTAAACCATTCGTCTGGCATGCCATGTCCCGTAGCTGCCTTTCTGGAGGGCTGGATCCGGATGCAGAAGATAATTGGATGGCATTTCGGGCACAAAACACCTTTTCTTTCATGTCGTCGCTCAGATTCCGTGACAGCTCCAGCTCTAACGATGAGGTATACCCGACTGCTGTGCAAATCGATGGACGTTCTCCAGGCCTAAGTCCTGCCTCCATATGACTCCTAAGCTCACACGGCCTTCCTCCAAACACCTCCTCAGCACCTCCTACTACCTCCTCTCCCTTTACGTTGGTCACTTTGGAGAACATGTACTCCTGCTCAGGGGGGCCTGGAGCAGACTGCTCCCCTTGAACGGGACTGTGGAGAACATTCACCCCAAACTGTTCACCCCCCTGGGCCGCCCTGAGTGGGAGCTTTTGGCAGTACTCAGGGCTACTCATGGTGTTGGTGGTCAAGGTAGCGCTGGTGGTCAGGTACCAAGAGGCTGGCTGGAATGCTTCTGAAGTAGACTCGGCCCTTCGGGATTCTGCCCTTTCTGTCCATGCCTCCATCACTGGAGAGGGGATTACAGGGCCAGGAATGGGGCAAGCAGCCACGGAGCTGGTGGGCAGATCCCAACCCTTACTATTGAACTCCTCAATGTATTTCAGGTCATCTGGTGAAAGGGGAGGAGTCACATCGTCCCGTCCATGCTCGCTAGGCTTGCTCTTATCTGGTAGGAAGGGGGAGCTGTCCATCAAACGCTGGAAGTCGCTCATGGAGCAAACTGACTTCGCCCTGCAGAGGCAAAAATGAATGAAAAGTTACATTGGTGTTGCAAAACATTGTAACCAACACTTCTCTTGACTTGTTCAGCATACTGTATTATTTTGAATTTATTTTGATGCAGTTCATTGTGGGTTTGCCTTATCTGCAAAGGATAGACTCAATCCTCAAAGAAAGTATATTATAAAGCAGCACAATGTCGCTGTTTACTTTTTGGAACAGTCTTTGTGTCTCCAGGGAAGTGCATCGATGTTCTCAGAGTTAACCCTATGCTCCCCTAACTTTGAGAACATGAGACCCTAAGAACTGGGGATTTTAGAACCTTGGGAATAAAGGATCCTGAGAACGGGGGAACATAGAACCCTAGGAACATGGGAGCCTGGGAATAGGGGATCTTGGGAACTGGGGACATAGGACCCTAGGAACACGGGACACTGGGAACTGGGAAATATAGATCCCTAAGAACATGGAAGCCTGGAAACTGGTGAAAATAGAACCCTAGGAACATGGGAGCCTGGAACTGGGGAACATAGAACCCTAAGATCAAGGAACACTGGAAACTGGGGAACATAGAACCCTAAGAACATGGGAGCTTGGAAACAGGGGATCTTGGGAATTGGGGACATAGAACCCTATGAACATGGGACCCTAAGAAGTGGGGAACATAGAACCTTGGGAACAAGGTGTCTTGGAAACTGGGAGACATAGAACCCTAGGAACATGGGAGCTTGGGAACAGGGGACCTTGGGAACTGGTGGCTTAGGACCCTAGAAACATGGGACACTAGGAACTGGAGAACACATATCTCCAAGAACATGGAAGTCTGGAAACTGGGAAACATAGAATCCTAAGAACATAGGAGCCTGGAAACAGGGGATCTTGGGAACTGGGAACACAGGACCCTAGGAACATGGAATGCTAGGAACTGGGGTACATAGATCCCTAAAAACATGGAAACTGGGGAACATAGAACCCTATGAACATGGGAGCCTGGGAATGGGAACTTTGGAACATAGTACCCTAGGAACATAGGAATGGCTCCAACAGGAGCATGCCATTGATACTTTAAAGCACTCTATAGACCAATTTCAGTGTTTGCAAACAGTGATGACGTTTTTGTGGGCAGAGCCTATCTGGTGGCATAAAATGCCAGTTTTAACGTAGCAGTCTATTCAAGCCATGGAATAAAATAATAAAAAATGTAATTTTTAAAATGTAAATTGAAGTTTATATTTCAAAATTCTGACTTTTTTCTTGCAATTCCGAAATTATATAACACAATTCTGGTAAGAAAAATCAACTCATCATTCTTTCTTTTTAGTTTATAATCCCACACTTCTGTCTTTTTTCCCTCAGAATTGACAAACTCGCAATCGTTGACTTGAATAAAGTTATAAAGTCCGAACTAGGAGATATAAACTTGCATTAGCAAGAAAAAAAGTCAGAATTGTGAGATAAAATAGGTAAATGTTATGTAAAATGTTATAGGTTTAAATAGTATTTCATTCATGTATTTCAACTGTAGGGCTAATGCAATATGTCCCCTATATGAATATTATATAGACCTATTGTTTAAATCAAATGTATGCTTTAAAAGTAGGGTAATCATAGCAGGTTTCATCCATAGTCTGTCAAATGGCGTCTTTGACTACAGTGTTATATAAAAATTATTTGCATTCCAATTCTGACATCCAAATGCACAACACATTTTTTCTCTTATTCCATGGATTTTACCCGTTTCCCTCCACTTGTTCCCAGTGTTTTTCTGCCACCACTATGCGCGCACAGCTGCAAGTGACGTAACTGTGACGTCTACTCCAAATTGGTCTATAGGTAGCCACTTAATGTGTCAGCCCCAAAGGATAAGTATATTTATTAGAGCAATACACGTGTACTGATGAAGTTATCTATCCTTTGTTGCTGCCTGGCACATTTCATCTCTGGCCTACCGAGATTAAACTTTTCCTTTCCATTCACAATTCTCCAGAGATGTTGCTGAAATGGCAACAACAGCACAGTCTAAACATAGCTGTTAGCCTGCGCTCAAACAAGGGCAAAGTGAAACTGATTGATCCGTACAAGGTGAGACGGTCAGGAAAAGACACTGAAGCTTATTAGCAGTAACTGAAACAATGTTGAGACCTTTGAAAAGGACAATGATAAATGGACATGGGGTCAATAACCTGGGCTCATAGGAGTTCACCGCCAGATAACAAAACCAGCAACTAAAGGCCTCAGGTTTCATATTCACGCAATGTTTAAAATAAGCAAATTAACTATGTTTTCTGAGGTCAGGATCACTATACACAGACAAATCTTACCCCTAACCCCTTTAGAAGTAAACTGTGGTATCTTCAATAATTGTAAACACCACTCTACTTATAATTATGTCAAACTAACCCTAATCATATTATACATCTTTCAGCGTTGAAATATAAGATTATTTTGTTCATTCACGTAGCTGTTTTCAAGTTTTGTCAAGGTTTGCTATTCTTCAGAGCACTGAGAGAAGAGCAAAACTTGCATTGACTAGAACACACATACTCATAAACACACACATACTCGTAAACAAAAATCATACCTGAGTAGGCTACCACTGCTCTTCTCTTCCTCAGGGTAAATGGCAGGATCCACACTCTCAGAAATCTCATTCAGTGCCTGAAACAACAACACAGTTAAAACATTAAAAGCCACAAAATGTTAACTTGCTTTAAGAATTTATGTGGTACATTGAGTACAGATTGTTTTGCTATTTAATAATTCTTCCTCATTTCACATGCAAAGATGTTAGCCAATCACAATAGAGGTCATATACATACAGAACTCATTTACAGCAGCAAAAACAGCATATTTAATAATAAGGGCCAGACAGAGGATAATGACCATGATGGACCTCAAGAAGAAGAAAAGAAAAGAAAAAAAAAGTGCCCTATTGTGTAGAGTGTACTGATGTCTTACTCTGTCTCTTACTTCTTTCAGGTGAGGGAACCTCTTTTCGTTCTCCAGACGTGATGGAGGAGGCACAGAGGATCTGGCTTCGCTCAGAGGATCCAGAGAGAGGGCATCCAGGAACAGGCTCCCTGGGGGCAGGTGTCCCTCAAAGGGTCTGTGTCTGCCCATCGCCCCCTTCTCCTCCAGCGTGGCCTCCGAGTCGGAGTGGGAGCGTGAGTGTGCAGCTGTGCAGGGGGAGTGTGGAGATTTAGGAGCCTTACAGGGGCTCTCCTGAGGGGAGAAGACATGTGCTGCGCCTCCTTCTGACTGAAGAACGTCTTTCTGCATCTGAGGTGGAGAAGAGGAGATGATGGCTTTGTTTCGAGACTTAGTAAGCTGTTTTGCTGCCAACTGTCTTAGGCAACTATCTTCTAAGGCAGGGTTTTTTGGCCAGCTGAACCCCTTAGATGTGAAACATTTACATTTAGTCTCTCCTGAGATTATAAATTAATATTTAAATAATTCAACAACACATTCCCATGTTCCTTTAATCTTTTATTAAAAGTGATTTATTTTGACTTTGTAGTTGGAACCCAATCAAATTTAATAATAATAATGATAATTTTAGTTATAATTATATTATTATATTTAACTTTAATTATTAGAAATTAGTGCTGTCAAACGATTAATCGCATCCAAATTAAAAGTTTTTGTTCACATAATACATGTGTGTACTGTGTATATTTATTATGTATATATAAATACAAACACATGCATGTATATATTTAAGAATATATATATTTAATGTTTATATAATAAATATATTTATATATAATATAAATATATACATGTAAATATTTAAAAAATATATACTGTATGTGTGTTCATTTATATATATACATAATAAATATACACATTACACACACATATATTATGTAAACAAAAACTTTTTTGGATGCGATTAATCATGATTAATCATTTGACAGCACTATTAGAAATGAATACAGAAATATATTACTATTGTAAATTACAATAAAAAAATCAATATTTAATAAGTATACTTTCTTTCCACTACAAGTTACAATACTAATATTTAGGTATTTATTATTTTTATTCATATTTTTATTTTCAAATGTTGTAAATGTGTAAATAAAGTGAACCTAGTGCATGTTGTATTACCAAATACATGTGAAACTCACAGCGCAAGCAGTTTTATGCATTTACTGTGAACTAAGCTGCTCTGAGATGCTGAATACAGTGGATTATATCATGAAATATTGAAATAATGAGTTTCCATTATTGATTCTTTCCTGTTTATTTCTGTGAAGCTGCTTTGACACATTCTGTATTGTATTAAACGCTATAGAACTTTTGAATGCAGTTACTGTACATGTCTTGTCTACCAAGTATTGATGTGTATGAGTGAAATAAGAAGGATTTATGCCCCGGACCTTTTCCATCTTGTGGTGCATTTCCCGTAAGCTGCGGCCCCACTCCTGTCTCTCTTTCTCGAACCGCTCCAGTAGTTCATGCCTCTCACGGGTCCAGCGCTTTTCTCCATGCTGCAGTTTCCAGCGCAGCTCCAGTGCCGTGCTGTGACTGTCGGCCAGCAGACGTTGCTGTTCCTCCCGCTCCTGCTGTAACACGTCTGCAGAGTCTGCACCTTCATCTGCGACTGCGCCTGCAGACTCACCTCTCATATCCTGCAGCTGCAGACAAGGAAAAGAATAAATGCCTGCATTGGATATGTTTGAAATGGCAAACTACAGTCTTGCAGAGCATACACAATACGCAAATTGTATGTATGCACAGAACAACCGAATAAAACCACGTATTCCATAATTAAATGCACTACACTGGACCTTCCATTTACAGAATGACAAATGAACCGCAATTACACCTGTGATTTATAACATCGACTTCTTGGTTTAAGAAGAAGTTTATGACATCAGCTTCTTGGATTTTAATGTAAACAATGGATTAAAAATGTGAAATAACCGTATTTATTTCTAATATGTTTATAGGATATCACTTGCTGAATTAAACATGCAAATTATTGACATAATATTATCATTTATTAACACTATTAATATATTATTATAATAATAATAATAATTATTACACTTACTAAATTAAACATACAACTTACTGACATTATATGACAATTTATCATTAGTATTCATTATTACTATTCATCTATTACTATTACTATTATTATCATCAATAATACTAGTATTACTAAACCTGCTGAATTAAACATGCAACTTACTGACATCATATGAAAACAATCTAGCCATATAATAATAATAATGACTTTATTATTATTATTATTATTATAACACTCACTGAATTAAATATGCAAATATGCGAAATTATTGCCTCATATGACAACATTCTAGCATTATTATTGTTAGTTAATATAATTTTTTTTATTATTATTAATTATTAGTATTAACAATAATGTCTAATGAATACTAATGATTATTTCTATTATTTTTGCATTCAGTGAACTGCTATTTGTTAAATTATATATATATATATATATATATACTGTATACACTGTATAGTATAGTGAACAGTAAATAGTGTATACTGCAAAGAATGGAATCAGCAGTATGTGAGTGTTCAATTCTGAACACAGCCATACAAACACACTCAAATAGGACCTACATAGCTAAATATCAACTGTAAATATATACTCGGAGTGTAAGTTTGCCAAATAGCTGAAATGAAATGCAGTAAACGTAGTGCAGGATAGTCCAGATACACCTTCCTCGCATGTCTAGTCAGATGTTCCTAAATCTACTCGCTGTCTGAATGAGCAGGGCTCCTCTGACATCTGCTTTCTTTTAATAGACCATGACTGTGTTTGATGGCCGAACTGCACCACTGCATAAATATAGCTGGCTATTTAAAGACGCTCCCTAACTCACCGATATCAAAACAGCACTCAAGTCACTGTGAGCCGAAAGCAACGCATGGCACTGCAGATGCTTAACGTCTTGGCAGATGCTGCTTAACTAGATTTATGTCTAGTTAAGATATAAAGAAAATGAGTTTTATGACAAGAACGAATTTGACTAATTTGACCTTTTAGAAAGTCACCTTGGACATAAAATTGATTAATGCACGCATGGCACTGCAGATGCTTAACGTCTTGGCAGATGCTGCTTAACTAGATTTATGTCTAGTTAAGATATAAAGAAAATGAGTTTTATGACAAGAACAAATTTGACTAATTTGACCTTTTAGAAAGTCACCTTGGACATAAAATTGATTAATGGTTTAAAATGCTATTTACATTACCATTCAAAAGATTTTTATTAATTTTTTTAAATTAAAGATTTCTCTTCTGCTCACCAAGGCTGCATTTATTTGATACAGTAAAAACTGAAATTTTGTGAAATATTATTATAATTGAAAATAACTGTTTTCTATGTGAATATATTTTAAACTGTAATTTATTTCTGTGATGCGCAGCTGAATTTTCAGCATCATTACTGCAGTCTTCAGTGTCACATGATCCTTCAGAAATCATTCTAATATGCTGATCTGCTGCTCAAGAAACATGTTGAAAACAGTTGTACTGCTTCATATTTTTATGGAAACTGTGATACATTTTTCTTTTCTGGATTCTCTGATGAAAACAAATTTCAAAAGGACAGCATTAATTTGTCTTAAATGCCTTTACTGTCACTTTTGATCAATTTAATGTATCTTTGCCTAATAAATGTATTAATTTCTTTCTAATTTCCCTAAACTTTTTATTGGGAGTGTAAATCATTTAGTTTAAAATATTTTTAAGTTAAATATTTTTAATTCTCATTTTAAAACGCTTTTTTTAAACCACGGAATAAAACAGTTGTTCTAGACATTTTTTTAATGCAGCATTGATCAAAAATTCAATTTTATTAAAAAGTAACTATTTTTACATATATAACAGTTTGTGCTTAATACCAGACTCGTGAATGAGTGAGTGACCATTAATAAAGTTGATGTGATGTAGAGCGTTTGAGTTTAGTCACTTATGAGGTTCCAAGTCTGTTAGGATGCTCCCTATGTAGACAGCAGTCAGGTTTTAGGTGCTGTACTGCCGTTCACAGGTGATTCTGCTTTGATGTAAGGTGTGTCTCTGTACCTTGGTGACGTGACTCCTCATTTCAGCGCGCTGTATCTCCCACGCCGCTCTCTCATTGGCTAACGTCTGCTGCAGCTGCCAGCGCCGCTGGGCCTCCTCGCGGAGCTCCGCCCTGAACTCCTCCAGCAGAGAGCGCAGCGCATGCAGCACCCGCCGACTGTCACCCGCCTGCACACACAGACCACAGTGTTATTGCTCAGAGGTCGCTCTGTTGTAGCGCGATGGAGTTCTCAGTTTACGTATCAACTTCGTCTCAGATGTTTCTCCTGCTATTCTTTAGGAAAAAGACACGAATGAGTCACTAGTTGTCATCCAGTAAGAGTGTAGAGCTATAAAATGAATGCGAACAGCAGCTCAGATCATTAATACTTGCCAAGTGCCAAATGTGAGTAAAAACCAGCTTTGGCGAGTATTTGTCAACTAGTATATTAATTCTAACAATGCCCGAGATATGCCTAATATGAACCAAAGTGAAGCAGCACTGCAATCTTTTCATGGTTCCACACCAACTGGATCTCTGCAAGTGCTGTGACTTTGAGTCGCATGTAATGTGCGTTTGAAAATGCAATAAATGTCAAACATCTTGCCATGTTTTAAAGGGGTCATATGATGCGATTTCAAGTTTTCCTTTCTCTTTGGAGTGTTACAAGCTGTTCGTGAACAGATAAGATCCCTGAAGTTGCAAAGACTAAAGTCTCAAACCCAAAGAGATATTCTTTATAAAAGTTAAGACTCGTCCACGCCCCCCTAAAACGCCTCGTTCTAACACGCCCCCACATGTCTACGTCACGATGTGGGAATATTTGCATAACGCCGCCCAAATGTTCATGCAATGAAAGAAGGTGTAACTTTGTTGTTGCCGCTGCCATGTTGTGAAGACGCTGTGTGTTTCGTTGTGAAAGCGCTCCAGCTCATGACCAGCTAAGGACCAGCTTAAACCAGCTCAAACCAGCAGCCATGCTTCGAAACATACCTAACCAGCATATGCTGGATTTTTCAACTGGGTTATTATTTGTAATAGTATTTATTTTATTTTAACTAATGTAATCTAAGCGCCGCTCCGAAGCAGCTTTAATTACAGAAACAGTTCTGTCATTATTGATTCACACTCATGTCATTTCTGTTTAAACTAGAAGTGAGTGTTAATGAGAGAGAACATTTATAAATTCTGAGACACATTAATATCAAATCTCTCTTAAGTTTAAAGACAAAGTGTGCAATTTCTGTGGCACTAAACAGAATTGCAAACAAATTCAAAATTCACCATTTATTGAAATTATGTTATATTCAGCTCCGACAAACACTGCATTTTAATTTAGTGCAGCCACTGGTGCAGAAATAACACTTTAACAGTAATGTCCAATGAGTGACGGTTCAATAAACCAATATCTTCCGAAGGAACATATCTTCCCTCAGTAGTATGCAAGCTTCATCAGCACAGCAGAAAACCACAGCATCAATGAAGCCAACTGCATTTGTGTTAAAAGTGCGTGTTCAGCACAAACGACTTCTACTGAAATTCATTCAAAACCCTATGCATGCCGAGAAAAGGCCACATCCTTACAAACAAGAGATTGTGGCAGCTTTTAATGATTTGTAAAACTAAAGAGTTTACAAACTCCCGCACTTAAAGAGATTAAATAATAGACTAGAGCTGAGAGAACGTTTACTGCTTTATATGGAGCAAACAGACACTGCTGCTGAAACATTTACACTGATTTAATATTTACTACAGAACGCAGAGAAGAGAGATTTTAAGGTGAACAATCATGAGTTCAAATAAATTTTTTCCTATAGTTAGTTTCATGACTGAACTATATAGTTATTCGGGATCCGCTCACCTCAGCATGCGCTCCCTCCTCCAGTCCATCCGTCCTGCGGCCCAGCCTCCAGTGCATCAGGATCCAGCGCAGCTTCATGTAGACAATGACCATATTGTGGCGGAACAACCTCACTTCCTGTTGCAGCAGGACTCTTTCCTGTGGCCATGTTGGCTCGTGAGATTGAAGTCCCTGCAGCTCGAGTCCTCGCCGGGCCTCGGCTCGCCTCCTCTCCTCCTCCTGTACAAGCCAAAGCATTCAACAAAGAGTCATGGTTAATATACTTGTTATTATTATGACATAAGACAGATGCATGCTTTCATAGAGAGCAATAAAACTATGAAAGATCATGTGGATGTTTAAGGCAAGTAGTAAAGTAATTCCTACTTGAAAAACCATCTAAAAAGATTTTTTATTGTGCAGTTTGCTAGCTGGACTAAGCTAGTTTAGGTGGATAATTAGCCAGACTAAAAATTTGTGGTACCTGGCTAGGCTGGTAAAGCGTCTTGGACTAGCAATAAAGCAATAACTAGTTCTAAGAACTAGTTTAACTATATTAAAGACTCAAATTGATCAAAACTTTATTGATAAACCTGTCGCACGCAATCTACTCTGTCGTCGGATTGATTGTTTAGACAATTTTTTCCAAATAAAAACTTTTAATGTACAATATTTCCTTCAGCTTGTGCTTCACGTGTCTTTTTGCAGTCAAATCTTTACTGATTTTATAAAGTAAAAATAAGAATAACTTTGATTTTGTTAGTAATATCTTAAGATGAACACATACTGGAATGAAGAACTGAATCTTTTTTTTTTTTGAAAAGTCATGTTCAAATGTGAGATCAACAGGCTTTTGAGGAACATTTATTTGATCATCTCTCAATCATCATTGTATTATATGTTTTGATCATAAAACGAATAATTTAAATATCATCTTACTAAGACATTATTTGAGATATAGAGTGATGATGACTGACATTTCATTTTATGTCAGTATCTGCTATGATGTCAAACATTTACATGACAAGCATCAGAGTTGCATCACTTTTTGATTATATAAATATCAGCATTTTTTCAACCATATTCTCGCTATATCACACTATATAAGCCATTAAAGCTTGATGGATCAAATATGATACTCATTAAAAACACATTTGCAAACTTTTGTTTTTTGAATGTCTAAGCATTCAATAAACTGTCCCATGAATTATTTCATATGTCACACTTTACAGGGTTAAGCTGGTATGACTTAGTGGTTATACAGACTAGTCAACTAGTTATACTGTACTTCTAGTCCATGTTTTGGGTCTGGTATACTGTCTATCCATGGCAAGCTACTATTTTCACATCAGTTTTACATGTGAAGAGCTTTTGAACGGATGACTTGTACAGTAGGTCTGATCCTGTTTCTAAAAGTAAACCGTGTCAAGTCATATTTACTTCTATATTGCTTCATACAATTACACACTGTTTCAAAGCAGCTTTACAGATGAGACTAATACAGTTTAATCAGTAATGCCACTCTACAGCAGATAATACTGTAGTTCAGTAATGTACCTGAGTGATGGATGAAGTGAAGCTGTCTCTCATCCTCCTGTCGTGCTCCAGGCGCAGCTGTGTTTCTCTGGTTGGTGTTCCCATCTCGGACAGGACCGGGTCACGGAGCTGGACCCCATCAGAACACAGAACAGCAGTCTCAAAATCCCAGCACTTTTGAGAGAAACACCATCAGTTCTCATGCACAAACTCGTCTGTGTCATGCAGCTCGGCAGATGCGAGGTGATATTTTAGCTTCTCTTTCTAGATTCACTACCTGTACACGGATGGTTAGGCAGGAAAACATTGCAACACTGCATTCTTAACGGAACAGTTTGCTAATAAACTCTCTGGATCTCTGGTGATAAATGCTAGAGAATTAATTCAGTCAGCCAAAGGAAGATTCTCCATGAAATAAGCTCATAATCAATTTAGATTCATTTCTACTCTGAAGAAATACTAAAGCTGTGCTTTATGTGCTGCTGTTTGTAAGTGCTAACAAATGTCTCCTTGCAAGAGTGAATCAGGGTTATTATTGTTAACTAACACTAAAACTAAAACCATAACAAATATTTTTGTTATTTGAAATAAATAAACATTAACTGAAATAAAATAAAATAAAAGGTACAATTTTTCAAGACAACATTTCTCATTTTTGTTTTAAGCTGAAGTACTAAAATATCAAAAAGTAATATTACTAAAAGAATAATACATTTTAATAATTAATTAATTAATACCATAAAGAAATGGTAAAAAAAGACAAACAACTAAATTACTACATTTGCTTTTACTGCAATTAAATGTAAAAAAAAATATATATATATATAAATATAAAATCTAATTATTATCTAAATCTAAATATTAACAAAAACTATTGTATATCATCGGCTCATATAACGTATACTATCGTTAATCATAAAGACGATAGAATAAGCATATGCTGCCTTCAAGTCTCTGCATTAATGACTGAGTGCATTTGATCAGTAACACCAGGTCATAATTACAAGTGTGAAACGCTTCTGTTCTCGAGTGGTAAGGGATAGCACATAAACTGGGACTAACACACAACAAATTAAATGCAAACATATATATCAACAGATGACATGATTAACACACACAGCCCTTATTTTCAACAGAAAAAAACATCACATTTTTCAAAGCCCCTGCGTGAGAGGATGGTGAGTGATCATAATTCATGACGACAAATTAACAGCAGTGATTGTGAGCGGAGTGAGAAGAAACCAAAAGAATCACTGAGACAATGATGGGAATTAAGTGGTTCAAGTGAACGAACTGCTCTGGGCTAGATCTACCGTTTCATTTAGTTGCATCAGACAAATCAATGCTGTTGCTGTATCTGGTCTAATAACCTGGTGTAAAATAACTGCCAGTGCTATTTGATGACATCTGGCTCACTTCCATTTAGTTTTATTACATTAGAGATTTAATGCATTTTATTCAATTAAATAAAGATACACAAACTAGGGAGAATTGCTCTTTATAGTGAAGTATGCCGTAGGCTTTCCTTGCCCTCTGAAAACAGGCTCTGTTTCAAAATCTAGTGAACAGCCTTTCTGTCTTCATAGTCAGCATCATAAATGTCATATTGCATAAGGAATTGAAAACACTCTACATAGACATCAAGCTAATAAATGCATAAATAAATCAATCAATCACATACACGTATTGTGTAAAATAGTCCATTTAAATATATTTTTAACAATTTATAATTGCTAATTCTATAATAATTGGAAATAAAATATTTATATAATGTATAATTAACTATTTAATGCACTTATTTAATCTAAAAATGTATTTAATTTGATAAATATATTTAATGCATTATAGGATTGCATTTGCCATAATACTGTATATCCAAAAACTAGCATAACGAGGTTTCACCTCTAGAATGTGTCTATGATGCCTAAACAATGACCTCTAGGTTTTGAAACAGATCCAGAGACATACACTCTTAAAAATAAAGGTGCTTCAAAAGGTTCTTCAAGCGATGCCATAGAAGAACCCTTTTTGGTTCCACAAAGAAGCATTCAGTCAAAGGTTCTTTAAAGAACCATCTCTTTCTTACCTTTTTATAATCTCAAGAACCTTCTTTCACCACAAAGAAGCTTTTGTGAAACAGAAAGGTTCTTCAGATGTTAAAGGTTCTTTATGGAACCATTTAGACAAAAAGGTTCTTCTATGGCATCGTGAAGCACCTTTATTTTTAAGAGTGTAGTAGTAGTTTTTGTGGGAGATTTGTCTGACAGAGAAACTCAATATTCACACACTGTTACCTTTGTGCTCAAACACCAGTGCACTCACATTCATTTTAAATCTAATAAAACTTTTATTTCGAAAACTGGAGCCATATTCATAAATGCTTCAGGCTTAGATGCAACCCTTGTGGTTCAGGTTTTAAAACCTGGTACCTCTGAAGGTCATTCGTGTTTCACGACGGAAATGTCATTAAACCAGTGTGTGAATATTTCCTCAGTTTTGATCTGTACTGCACATTTTCACAAGGAAAGGCACTCCAGCTCTCTAGTTTTCCACACACCACCGAAACAGCTCTTACTGGCCTGCTTTAATGTTAAAAGAGGATCACAGCCTTGGTTATGTCCGGATATCAGCCGTGGCTTTTTTTCTTTTTATGTAATATGGTTATATTTTAAATAGGAAAACTATAATATAATTGTAAAATGTAAATTTATTTGCATTATTATTGATATAAAATATTACTTTAAAATATTAATAACATTATTATTAATTATATAAGATTTGATTAATAAAATAAATAAACCATTATATTATACAATATTGAATCAATAATATAAAGGAAATGTTATATATATATATATATATATATATAGAGTGCTGTCAAGCGATTAATCGCATACAAAATAAAAGTTTTTGTTTGCATAATATATGTGTGTGTTCTGTGTATATTTATTAAGTGTATATAAATACACATACATACAGTATATATTTTGAAAATATTTACATGTCTATATTTATATTCATATAATTTATATTTAAAATTAATTATATTATATATAATTAATTTATAATAAATTAATAAATATATTTATTGTATAAACATACATACATTCCTGAAATATATATATATGCATGTGTGTGTATTTATATATACATAATAAATATACACAGTACACATACATATATTACGTAAACAAAAACTTTTATTTTGGATGCGATTAATCACGATTAATCGTTTGACAGCACTAATATAAATATATATGGGCCTATATATAATATTAACACTAATTTTATAATATTAAATTTCCTTATTTCATGATCTTACACTTTTAATGCATTTTTAATATCAATTTCATGATATTAAAGCTTAAGGCAAGTAATGACATTCAGAGAAAAGCAATGTATGTCAGTATTGCAGCGCTTTCTTGAAAATAACTCACCACATTACTTTTCCAGCTACTTCTGTATTTCCATCAAAGCATGTGATGACATCCAAAGATAACCAAGGCTTTACAGAAACGCACGTTTTGGTAGTGCATGGGAAAATACTTTCAGCGTTTACCATCTTAACTAATGCAGCACATTAAACTGTCAGGGGTTTCAGGAATCAGAGGCACTGCAAGGACACTTGGAAACGTATCTGTCTTAAAGTTGAGAGGGAGATGGACGAGGCACTGACCTCGGGTCTGAAACTGTGGGGTCTGGTGTATCTACTGAGTCCAGGGCCTCCCCTGGCTGTGACGGAGCCCTTAGCGGCGCCCTGTCCCTGTCCAGGGGCCTCCGGGACACTCTGCCGCTCTAGGCACCACTCCTGCTCCTCCCTGCGCCCGTACTGTGAGTGAGGAGGGGAGGAAAGGATCGGGGAGGTGGAGGAGACAGAGGGAGGTGCAGGGGGATCGGTGAACGACAAACAGAATCCACACACACACACGAGACGAGAAAGAGTGGAGGGGGAAAATAAAACTCAACGTGGGTTTAAGCCAAACTCAGAGTGTGGAATGCAAGGGTGAGGGGTCATCGACACACACTGTATTCAAAAAAACGATTATGAATTAAAAAAACAATGATCGAATGGAAAACAGAAAGAAAGAAAGAGAGAGCCAGCGGGCTACACGACAAAGAAAAGCGCAAAAAGAAACACCAACTTAAAGATGATGGCGTAGGAGAGAGACGAGAAGAGAACGAGAATGAGGAGGAACGGAATCATGGGCCGAAACATCTGGGGACGAAATGAGGGACGAAGAGAGAAGAAGGGAAGGGCCAAGGGGAAAAAAGAATGCAAAACACTGGTTATGAAGCGCATGCGATGGGGATACATGAGTCTTACAACCAATAACCCAAAATGTGCAGTGACTGAGAGCTGACGCTAATGTGTCGTGCCAAATCCAGGACCAGGTCAAAACCCTAATGCTTAAACCAGTCCACCGGCTTAAAGAAATGTTTGGGGGTGTTTTACTAATACAATTGTAAAATATAGCTCAATTTTAAAAAAAGGTATTCATTAAAATAAGAATTATAATTGCAATGAAAATTGGAATTATTTTAATGATTAACTATATATAATTTTTTTTATTATTTTAATTAAACCTATTTTGATTAATAGCTTAATTAATATTAATATCAATATTAAGTTAATAATTGAAATAATGCATGTAATATATTTCAAAATAATTGTATTATTAGCTTAATATTAATATTACAATGTTACATGAAACATTCTATTGTTACATAATAAAATAATTCATACTAGTTTGGGGGTGTTTTACTAATACAATTGTAAAATATAGCTCAATTTTAAAAAAAGGTATTCATTAAAATAAGAATTATAATTGCAATGAAAATTGGAATTATTTTAATGATTAACTATATATTATTTTTTTATTATTTTAATTAAACCTATTTTGATTAATAGCTTAATTAATATTAATATCAATATTAAGTTAATAATTGAAATAATGCATGTAATATATTTCAAAATAATTGTATTATTAGCTTAATATTAATATTACAATGTTACATGAAACATTCTATTGTTACATAATAAAATAATTCATACTATTATTCATATTAAACTAATAATTGAAATAAAAAAGTTATAAAATTATTTTAACTATTAGCTTAATCAGTACAAATGTGAATAGCAATATTAATAAGAATTAAGCTAATAATTAAAGTCATAAATGTAATTAAAATAATACATTTATTATAATTATTAGTTTTATTCATATTAAAGCTAATAATTTAAAATAAAACAATGAAAACATTAAATAGCTAAACAATTTAAAATAATATTAATGTTAATATTAATTATTAAAATAATTAATAATAAGATCATTAAGCTAACAATTAGAATAATATATGTACATAAACAGTTATCTACAAATATTTTAATGATTCAATTTATTCATATTAATATCAAAAACTAATTTTAAAATACAAAAATATATAAATAATCATATTATTAAGGATTATTACTGTATATTAAGGATATTAAACTGACTTATTTTAACTGTGACATTATTTTAATAAATAATTACATTTGATTAAGTTACATTTCACAAACAACTCATTAAAAAAAAATCGGATTTAATCAAATTATATTATATAATATAACTAAGAATTGTTTGAGACCATTTCCTCAAAGCAAAACAACTAAAAAAAAACACACAATTAATTACACACACCACAGGTTAAAATTAAAGTTTGAGCTAGCTTATTAATTAGGGTGCCAAGCTAGTACATTAGTAGATTTCATTATGTTGTTCAGTTGTCAAAAAGTACAGATTTCTGGCATCGCAACAGAAAGATACAATGTTACAGTTAATATCCATACAAACCATATTATATTATACTATATAATTACCATTGATGTGTTATAATTGTGATTCCCTGATCAGCGATAACAGAATAATGCTAAAGGCTTTTGGATGAAGCATGACAAACATCTCTAAGGTGTGTAGGACATTGACAGGGTTTGGATGCGGCACGACGGCAGCATGCTGCTCGCAGCGAAGCCCAGCCATGCGATGAAGCAGCGCAACAGCGAGCTGAAGCTCTTAAATAAACATCCTATATAAGCATTCAGGTCTGTCATCATTAACCGGTGCAGGACATCTGACCGCTCATAGAAGTGAGGTGAACAGGCTGTGACTTCATGCTTGATGAAGAGTGTTTAGTGGATGGACTGAAGTTACGTGACCCAACGCAAAGAACCGCCCAGCTTAACCGACGGCTTCCACCAATGAACATGAGCCAAATGAGCTTATCAGCCAATCAGAGCGCAATTCAGACACTATTAAGCTTAAATGTGAAATATCAAATCACGTTCATATCGACAAGCTGCTAAAACATCAATAGATGTCAAACCCGTAGTTACACATAGGTTATTTGTTGGAAAGTTCACTCATGTTATCATAAAGCAGTTTCAATGCACAAAGCAGGAAAAAAGCTACAAGCAGTTCTATGGAGGGCAGCTTTCCGAGACTAGCATATATGACAATTAAACATTTGAAAATCATTGAGACAAAAGACACAGCTACATTATTCCTGAGAATGATTAACCACATAAAAGTCATGTAGAATATATAGAGCAACAAACATTCAGTGTATTCAGAGTGCTCACAGGTCACACAGAGCCTCTGGAGGTTACTCAGAAAACAAAAATGCAGTGTAAGCACTTCTTATCCGCCATATTTCATATGAATGGCTGCATGCTCCACACATATGTTGCATCAGCATTAACTGTGCAAATAAAAAACTACTAGATTTGCTAAAGGCCAGACCCCAGGTGATGACAAACACATTTTACTGCCATTTTAGTTCATGTTAGTAGGCTATACATCATGCCACATCAGTCGGGTCCAAAATTGACAAGTGCCAGTAAATAAAAATACATAGATCAGTTTAATTCTGATAACCTTATTAAGAAGTGCAACATGTAAATATGAAAATATTAGGATCTAGAACACAATGCATCATCCTGCTTTTTGTCAGAAGTGAAGTTTAAGGCCAGAAACTTTAAGCAAGTATGCGAATGCTGCTGGAAGCGTTTGGCCAGCGGGTGTTATTAGCTTCTAGCAATGCAAGATCGACTTCGTCCATTGATGCATTTGCAAAATGTGTTGGCACACAATTTAATGCAAGTACGTGCACCATTTAAGAGCTCACAGCTGGTTCATGCACTTGTGTTCGTATATATGATGCTGTGAATTACACTATTATTTGTGACAAACATGCATGAAAATTATAAACTAATATTGACTAAGAAATACAAAATACTATTAAAGCTTATTTCTGCCATGGAATAAAAAATAAAAGTAATGGCGACTTTTAAACTCACAATTCTGATTTTCTGTATTCTCATGTATTTCTGAGGAAACTTAGAATTGTGCAGTTCTGAGATGTTAACTTGCAATTATGAGAAGTCAGAATTGTGAAAAGTAAACTCAGAATTCCAAAAAAGAATCTGAATTGTGAGATGTAAGCACAGAATTCAAAAAAAAAGTCAGAATTGCGAGATGTAAACTTAGAATAAAAAAGATGTTAAAACTTGAGAATTGTGAGATGCAAATGTAGAATTCTGAAAAAAAAGAGTCTGAATTGTAAGATTTAAACTCGCAATTGTGAGAAAAATTATTTGTGAGATAAACAGTCGTAATTATCTTGTCACATTTTTATTCTGTGGGAAGAAATAAGCTTCAGTAAAATGCACTTTTATGGCTGTAAGAAATATTTATGGCTGGCAAATATTTCTCAGTTTGCCCACTATTGGCACAGTAAATTTTGGACCCTGCAAATCAATGACAATCAAAACAATACACATAGCCTTGTGAAGCCATGCGGGAAATACCCATAAACACCCCCCTGCCCCAGGTGCGAGACAAGGAGATTGTGGGTAAGAGGATGGGGCAGGTATAGATGCAGGTGTTTATCAAGAGTGATGCTAGGAAAGGAGAGGTAAGGGCATCTTTGCTGAGCTGGGTGGCGCTCGGGGAAATGTGCATTGCATTGTGGGATATAGTATTCCAGGACGTGTGCCCTATTGTATACTTTTTATACACATTTTGGTAAATGTAGTACAACAGGTCATCTGGGTAGTCCATGCATGCAGAAAATTCATGTACATACAGCAAAAATAGCACAAGTAATATGGTGTTCTCAAAGAAAAACTGAGTGGTCAGTTAATATTGGTGAGTGAGTGTTGTTCTGTGATGTCTGGTGGACTTGTTCAACTGCCTGCATTTATGCTGAAGGTTATTAATGAATTAAAAAGCACCAAACATCTTTACAACTCTGTGTGTCCTTTTTTGTCTCCTGCTGGTAACTCCCATTAATCTTTCACATGGCTCTTTTTTCACACATAACTTGCAACAAAAAAAAGATCAGAAATATCACTGATGTCAAGGCAACTGCATAACCAGTTTGCTAGTCAAATACTCTGCCTACAGCTCCATATCTCAAGCAAGTCTACCTATTTCCCTTCTTATCTCTCAGTTGGGTGTTGTTTCTGGTTTAAGATGAAGAGTCATGCCAGCCAAATTAGTTGAATAGCTTCCTTTGTGGTGCATTCAGGACCTTCGATATATGATACATGAAGATGCAGAATCAATATAAAGGTGTATGCATTCTCAAAAAAGGACTTTCAAATGAGGAAGCAGCAAAGGAAAAAAGGAAGTTGCCATGTCATGTGATCGCATGTGATGGCAAACTCTGAATAAAGATGAAAAGGTCGAGTTACACATAACCTACCTGGAAGTCCGTCACCAGATCCCTTCCCAGTGTCCCGATAGGCGAGTCCCTTGACATGGAGGTAACCGTGGAAAGGAAGCTGCTAGATTCGGTGAGGTTGGGCATGGGGGAAAGGTCATCAACGCGGTCCCTTAGACCCTCCCCTAGGTGGTCCACTTTGTCCATGAATTGCTGGAGTTCCGAACGGAAAGCCTTCATGCGGGTGTTGATGGAATCCAGCACCTGAGAGTCGGGTTTAGATTCAGCAGAGCCCCCATCGCCTCTGAACTCCAATCCTTCTGCAAGAAGTTCCCCTCCCAGGACAACCAGTCGACCTTCGCGGATCAGACTGTCTGTATCCACGATGAGGCGCTCCACCGTTTTACCAAGCCGCTCAGCTTCACGCCTGATGTTGTTGAGCGTCTCCCGGTCTTCCCGTCTTCGCTGGGCCAACTCGGCCACTCCCAGTTCACCAGGATCTGAGGCTTTCTCGCCACTGACAAATCCAGAAGTTGCTGTTTTTTCAAACAAGTCATCAGAGTCGCTTTCCCCACCAACAGGACCTTCACGTTTGGGGTGGAGCAGCAGAAGCCTGGCCGTCTCGTCCTCGTCTGCTTCCCTTCTCCCGGCATCACTATCCACATCACTATCCCTTGGGCTACTGGTGTGTATCCCCAAGTTTGCCGCCAGGTCACAGCGTTGCATGTTAGAGATTAGCACCCGGTTCTCGTACTGCAGCTTCATTACTTTCCCACTTAGCTCGTTGATCTGGAGTCTTGCGGTTTTTAGCTCCTCCTGCAATGTGGCACCACTCCCTGCTCCATAACCTCCTCCGTTACCAGGTTTGAGTGTGCCACCATTTCCACCCTCGGCTCCCTCGGACTCCCGGTCGGCTTGGCTGGGTCCAAATTTGAAGCGGTTTAGCTCAGACGTCAGTTGCTTGTTGTGGTCCTCAATCTCAGAGATGGAGCGCCGCAGCAGCTCTGCCTCCTCTTCTACAAATTGCAAGTGTCGCCGCAGTTCACTCGCAGATTCCAGGGCATCGCCACCATACGGTGAGGTAGGGACACTCGAGAAGGGTTCGCGCCCAAAGCAGTCCCTCTCGTATTGGCAGCGTAGGTCTTCGTTTTCCGCCCTGAGGCCGCGGTTTTCCACCTCCAGCTCTACGATCTTCCTTCCCAGAATGTTGGCTTCCTCTTCCACCAGTTTGAGCCGTAACCGCAACTCGGCTTCCCGAGAGGTGTGGGGGCCTCCACCGGTCACCTCTGCCAGGGGCAAAGGGCTGTCCACGTCACCATATACTGATTTATACTTCTGCAATTCTTGTTCCAATTCATCCTTCTCACGGCCAAGTTTTGCCATCTTTTTACGCATAAGAGCCGATTCTTCCTTGGCAAACTGTAGCTGACAGCGCAGATCCGCACTGTCCTCCTGGAGAGAAAGAAACATGTGAATGTAAAAGGCAATACCATTTATTTCAAAATGGCCAAATTGTATAAGAATAATCAGCCTGGACAACATATAAAAAGTCTTGAGGTTCTGTAGTCTATATTCTCAACAAGTAGTGCACGTAGCATATTGTGTTGCTCTGTGCATGCTTTAAAATAAATGTTTCCAAGGGGAGGTTTCGAAGCCATGCCATAGAAGAACCACTTTGGGTTCCCCAAAGAACTTTTCAGTGAACAGTTCATAAAATGACCATTTCTTTATGTGAATAACTTAATCTAAAGAACCTTTTTCAACTATAAAGAATGTTTTATACACTGTAAAATGTCTTCATGGAACCACAGATGTCAATAAAGAACCTTTATTTTTAACAGTGTATAAGGCTTGAGAATTGATCTTTGTATTTCTTTGTACACACCTGAGTTAAAGATTTCTTATCTTTGAAGGTCTCTCTACTGCCTCGCCTCCGCAGAGCAGTCTGAAAGACAAATAGAGGACAGGGCATATTAACAAAAATGTGAAAGTTAGCGACTTTTGAACAACATCTTCATTTCAGTTACCAGGCACACAGAAGGATTCAGAAAAAAACCCAATTTTGAATAATAAAAAAACAGCATCTGATTTGAACACAACATCAATCATGAATATCAAGCTTAAACCCATTATTATATGAATTACAAGTTGTTGTCCTTATGGTGGATCTACTACTGCTGTCGGATTCAGGATTCCATCTTTATATCTCAGAAAAAAACAAGAAATACAACACTTAATGCATAACAAATAAAACTGCCAATGGGATTTGCAGGTGTTCAGTTGTTAATAACTTACAATTGTGAGATACAAACTCACAATTCTGGAAAAAAAGTCAGAATTGTGAGACAAAAAGTCACAATTACCTTTTTTATTTATCATCGTCTGGTGGACACAAGCTTGAATGTTGTTGATAGATCATTCATCATCAATTCAATTTGCTCTTTTTTTTACTTTTGGTGTGAAAAGGCATTTTTAACGGTGTAAATTCAATGAAGTGCATTTGCTTAGCCTAGTGCTTTTCTCAATATTGTTCCGCTTTAAAAAAAATATTTGAACCCATAGTCAATGAGTTTACACAGTGTTTCAGCTTCCAAATGAAATGTTGTTATTTGGTCATTTCTATGATGGTGAATAATAGCTAGAATGTGTTTTCGAGGGAATTTAAAGCATTTCAGAGTGATGAAATTAAACAGAAACACAGTTGCACACACACTCTATTCAGCATGAGCACAAAGCTTCAGTCATCGGTCTCTACTGCAGATAGAGGTTATTCTCTCACCCGAAAAACAGCCTGTAAAGCCAGACCTAGGCTGATCTCACATCAGAATGTGTCAATTGGTTTGGAAAGGCTGACGATGCATCTGCAGGTCCAGGATCAGTGTTCTGCAAACTCTGCGTGAGGCTCGTCTCCATCTGCCGTCTCCGGCATGAAGCAGAATACATTCAGCCATTCTTTATTCAACACTCCAAAAACACTTCAATGCACCAATTAATGAATCTGCACAAAGGAAGAATCTGGCATTCCATGCAGCAGGATTAGTCTTATTTGAGCAAATAGACTCTAAAATATGAAAAAGGTAATTGCAATTGCGAGATACAAACTCACAATTGTAAGAAAATACTTTTTTTCGTCAGAGTTGGACTTTATAACTTGAAGCTGTGAGTTTCTATCACAATTCTGAGAAAATAAGTCAGAATTGTGAGATAGTAACTCACAATAGCGATTGAAAAAAGTAAGAAATGTTAGATAAAAAGTTTTACTTTTTCTAAAAAAATTACTTTAAAAAATGTTTTTTATTCAGTGGTGGAGATGGGTTTCCATAGTACAATAGTTTAACCTAATTCAAATGGAATATTTTAGTCAATATTTGGATTCTGCCTTATAATGGAGCTGTAGGCAGGAGATTTTTTGTGTTTTCTTTTGCATGACTCACCGGTTTATAAGTGTGTCTCTGTAGCCAAAAACCACTCTTTACTAACTGTCCTTGTGGTTAGTTGAACATTAGCTATTACAGAGTTGTTTCCTGCTTCCTTGTTCATGTGCGTTCTGTGTCAATGAACACTAATGAATGCTCGGGTCTCTAATGGAGGGTCAATATTTACCATCCCGCTTCACATTTCACGTAACCTTGGAATCTGAAGATGACATAAGCTTGTACAAACACATTTTTTATAATGCTACAAGGCCTCTCTCAGGG